TGTGTTGTGTATATTTTACCACAATTTGTTTTAAAACCAGTGGTTCTCAAAGTGTAGTTTCAAACCAGAAGTAGCAGTTACACCTAGAAACCTGTTAGAAATGCAAATTCCCAACCTCCACCTCAGAACTGTTGATTCTGAAACTGGAGCTGGTATGTCCAGTGTTTAAGAAGCCATTCAGGTAGTTCTCATGCACACTGAAGTTCGAGACTACACAACTAAATAATTTTGTTTTAATCCTGAGAACCATAAAATTTTTTTGAAAAGCTTCATAGAATTTTCTCATGCCCTGGTAACTGCATAATTATCTTGGTCAGAAAAAGTGTTCTGGAAATGTTTTGAATATTGATGTTTTAAGTAGTGTTTCAAAAAACAACAAACAACGTTTAGACTGCCTGCTGTGTTTCAAGCATCTTGCCAAGTGCTGTAACATTTGTTTTTTTCCATTTACTCTTCAAGTCAGTCCTGATGAAGTAAATACTACATGAACCACATTTGAAATGAGGGGGAAAAAAGCCCAGCTCAATTGTAGTGTATACTTGCTGCCACTAGGTGGCACTGATAGTGTGGTTACCAAAACCCAGGCAAAGCTTTCTGGGAATACTTATTTCCAGAAAACTGGAATAAATGAGATCTCTTAACAGAGAAATTTTTAAAAAAAGAAAGAAAAGAAAAAGAAAGAGGGGGGAGGGAGGAGAAAGAAGGAAGGGAAGGAAGGAAGGAAGGAAGGAAGGAAGGAAGGAAGGAAGGAAGGAAGGAAGGAAGGAAAAGGAAAGAGAAAAATCAGATTGCAGATAACCACAAATCTTTATACAAAATAGAGATTCTGACTTCTGGTATGTTAGAGTAAAGACTTCTGAAACTCATATATATAAGTAATGAAATTACTGCCAAAAATCCTTAAAATCAATTTTTACAGACTTCTAGAAAATAACCAGAGGCTTGTGACAATCTGACAAGCATCTATGCAAGAAGAATGACTTAATCATGGTAAGAATATCAAGCCTTGTGGAGTTTTAACTGACTCCTATCTCTCAGCTTCACAGTAGCTTTGAAAACTAAAGACCCTACAACCACGGGAGCTACGGAAACCAGCAGCCTAGCAGGCACTGAAGAAGGTAGAGTGAACTTGGAGTGCCCCCAAATCCCTAGTCCCAAAGAACTTATTATTTGACCTGTCTGGCAGTTCCCTGGAAACCCCCATTCACAGGCCTCTTTTCTTCTTACTTCCCTCCCTTCCCCTCCCCTTTTTTCTCTTTTTTAAAAATTTTCTGATTTTTACCTAACTCAGGGCTAATTCAGTGCCAGTAGTTCCCCGGCCCCAGAACCCCCAGCCTGGAGCATGGCCCAACACAAACACAGTCCTTCAGAAAAGGCTGACAGACCTATTGGTGGGACACAATTAAAGAAGTCTCTGTCCAGTTATTGGCTGGCCACCAGGCTAACATAGAACATAGACTTATGTGACAAAACACACAAAGAACATAAGGGACTATAGATCAGTGGAATAGAATTGGGAGTCAGAAATAAACCCTCACATATTTGGTCATTTGATTTTCTGTATTGTGCCCAAAAAAATCCAACAGGGGAAGAATAGTCTTTTGTCTTTTTAACAAATGATGCTGGGAGAACTGAATAGTGACATGTAAAAGAATGCAGTTGGATCCCTTCCACATACAATGTACCAATATTAACTCAAAATGAATCACAGTCCTAAAAGTTAAACTATAACATTCTTAGCAGATAACATTGGAGTAAACCTTTGTGACTTTGTATATAACAACAAAACTGGAGGAACAAAAGATAAAATGGGTAAATTGGACTTGATCAAAATTAAAGATTTCTTACTTAAAGGACATCATCAAGATAGTGAAAAGACACCCATGAAATGGAAGAAAATATATGTACTTATATATCAGATAAGAAACTTGTATCTAGAATATATAAAGAACTCTTACAATTCAATAATAAAAAGACAAGGAGTTAAGAAATGAGCAAAGGAGCTGAATGAACATTTTTCAGAGAAGATACACAAGTAGCCAATAAGCATATGAAAAGATCCTCATTATCATTACTCAATGGAGAAGTACAAATCAAGAGCATAATGAGAAACCACTTCATACCTGCTAGAATGGCTTTAATTTAAAAATAAATAAATAAAAACAAGTGTGGGCCAAGATGCAACAAATTGTAACCCACATACATTTCTGATGGGAATGTAAAATGCTACAAACACTTAGAAAACAGTCTTGCAGCTCCTCAGATGATTAGCCATAGAGTTACCACATGACCCAGCAATTTTACCTCATAGTATATGCCCCAAAGCAATGAAAATATGTGTTCCCTCCAAAACTTGTACACAAATGTCCATATCAGCATTCTTCATAGTAGCCAAAAAATGGGAACCACTTAAATGTCCATAGGTTAATATTTAAACAAAACCTGGGATATCTTTGCAATGGAATAACATGTATCAATAAAAAAAAATTAAGTATTGCTAAATGCTACAACATGGATGGACCTTGATAGCTTGCTAGGTGAGCCCTGGCTGAGTAGCTCAGTTAGTTAGAACATCCACCCAAATATGCCAAGGTTGCAGGTTCTATCCCTGGTCAGAGCACATAAAGAATCAACCAATGAATGCATAAAAGTGTGTAACAACAAATTGATGTCTCTTCTCTCTCTCCCTCTCTCTAAAAAAAAATCAATTAAAAACTGTTTCTGGCTGTCTCTGCTTGGAATTCTGGTTATCTACTGATTAAAATTTTTCATGCTAAAGCCAATGGTGAAAATCACTAAGAGAAATGAAGTTTTTAAGCATACATTTATTTTAAGAATGCATATATTTCCTAGCTTTGTTCACTGGGAAGACTTGAAAACAATGACAAACCCAGTGACAATGGCCTTCTCTCCTTAAGGTATCTCTAAAAACATACTCTCTTTAAAAGAATCAGAGACCTAGGAGGCAGGATGCATCGAAATGAGCCTGGAACATTGTCAGAAAGTAGGATAGCTATCAGTCATCACTGAGAACATGCTGAAAGGACTCGGAGCCTGGTTAGAAGAGTTCCTTGTGACTCATAATGGGAGCATCTGAGCATCAAAAAGAAAAATAACTGAAATGGAGTAGAGCACACCATATGTTAAAACACAAGAGGACATGCTGTTAAACAAAATGTCACCCATGGAGGTTTCAAGGAAACCAATTCATTAATTTGAAAACTGGCAAATAAAGGGAAAGAATAAAGCATTTTCCCCACATTTCTTGTATAACTTTTACCTTAGGATAATCAAATAGTTAAGGTGGAAAAGAATTTTCCTAATGAACAATAGATCTGGCTGAAAACATCAGATGAAAGGTTGATGGGGAACTTTATAAGGGGTAAGTGAGACATACATCTGCTCTGATCTTACCATTGCAGAGGCAAAATCAATATATACCTCTTGAGGGCAGCGCAATAGGAAATACACAATACCACCTATGACATTACTAAAAAATTCTAACTTGAATTTGAGCAAACCTCAAACATTTGTTTATAAGATATAGGATAGTTAGATGCAATCAACAAAATCTTAAATGAGGGAAATTCTATAGAATAGATGACCCAGTTCAACAAAAAAATCACACGCACACAAAAGAGGGACAAGTGGGGAAACCTACACAGGAAGCATCAGCCATGTTCATTATGTGCACCCATTTAGAATAAAGCAGCTAAAAAAATTAAGAGCCCATTCAGGAAGCTGAATCATTATTTGATGATAATGTGATGATAAATTATTTTTTGTGTAATACAAATGGTAATTTAGAGAGCATTTTGAAAAGTTTTGAGATGCATACTGAAGTATTTCCAGAAGACCTAATATGATGTTTGAAATTTGCTTTAAAATAACCCAGTAGGGAGTAAGGAGTGGGTAGAGTTTAAATGAAACAAAATTTATTGGCCGTATATTGATAATTGTTGAAACTAACTGCATGGTGAGGACATGCAGGTTTGCAATACTCTCTATAGGTGCTTAGAATTTAGATTTTAAAAATTAACAACCTAGGCCCTGGCCTGGTAGTTCAGTTGGTTAGAGCGTCATCTGGATACACCAAGGTTGCAGGTTTGATCCCCCAGCCAGGGCACATACAAGAATCAACCAATGAATGCATAAGTAATTGGAACAAAAAAGTTGATGTTTCCCTTTCTCCAAAATTAATAAATAAAATTAACCTGTGTACTTATATATAATACAGTTTTATATATTTGTATATGTGTATATAGTTTTAAAATTACACATAATTCATGACTACACCCGAAGTTGATTTTTAAATGGGAAAATTGTGGCCTGGAAGGAACAGGTTTTATAGTGCCCCTTGCCATTGCAGCTTCCTACCCATAGTTGACCAGAATAGTATCGGCAACTTGACGTTTTGGTTTATCACATCAGGAAGGCTGCTAACCTAACTAATCAGCCGGGTGCCATAATACATACTACTTCCACCAGAGCCATTATTGTTATGATAAGACACGTGAGACGTATTTTTGATAAAACTTAGAGCTGACAAATGTTGTAAATTCCTAACTTTCTAATCAGCAATACATGTATATTTTAAAATGACACCAAGCTTAGCACCTTTAAATATAGTGCATGTGTCTTACAAATAGAGTAGTATATATTTTTTTTTTTTTGACGATTTCATTTATTTACTTTTTTGGAGAGGGGAAGAGAGGGGGAGAAACATTTATGTGCAAGAAATACATCGATTAGTTAGTTGCCTCTTGCTCGCCCCCAACTGGGGAACTTGGGCTGCGACCCAGGCATGTAATCTGACTGGGAATTAAACCTGTGACCTGTTGGTTTGCAGGCTGGCTCTCAATACACAGAGCCACACCAGAAGAGGCTTTATTCACTTTCTAAATGAGTTGATTTTGTTCAATGAAATATGTACCTTGCAGGCATTCTCATTTTGAGACAACAGATTTTATTTCTCTGAAACATTTTCCTTTCTTTTCTAGGAAATTGTTTTAGGTTATGTGAAAGAGATGCTTCCTCATTTCTAAGGCTTACCAGAAACTCTGATTTGAAGAGAATAAATGGATTTTGCACCAAACCACAGGAAAGTCCAAAAGCTCCATCACGTAAGTTTTTATCATCATCTAATTATGGACTAGGCAGCTCCCCAAGAATAGGACAGTTTGGAATCAAAAGAACGTAAGGGACAGGCAGTCATAGGGGTACATACCCTGGCATGTCGTTCAGGCCTTCCAAATTATGCTGACATTGGCTGTGCTCACAGGTAGCTGTGATTTCTTCGTTTTCCTCATTTGTCATGTTTATTTCTTATCTCAAAGATTGGACTGTCTGGTTTTGTAGGAGAATAGATGCACCAAAGTAAACAGTAGTCTAGAAATTATCTTTTAAGGAACCCCAAAGATAAACCAAATCAAGAAATGATGTTTTGGGTAAAATATAACCTGGATTAAGCTCTGGTTTGAGCTGACTTCAGCCACAGTTAGTCCTGTCCCTAACTGAAGCCTTTCTCATTGTCACCACTGTAGGAAGAAGGAGCATAATTTATAAACTGTAAGGTCCTAAGAACTATTTGCTTGTTGGTTCTTCATGAGAGTACACTTGAGCCAGGCAGGTCTTGGTAAGTGGAAAGGAACCATCCTCAAAGAATATTTTTATCAAGAGCTTAAAAATGTTTATGGCCTTTGACCTGGTGTTTCACTTTTGGGCATCTATCCTAAGAAATAATTCCTACATATAGGAAAAGCTTTGAGTGTAAAGATGTTTCCATTTTTTATATATATAGTAGGAAAATGAGAAATAAATCTAAATGTCAAATAACCTGAGAATGATTAATTACATATGTCAGATCTACTTGATGAAATTATTCAGCTGTTAGAAATGGTGCTTCTAAATACCATGTACTAGCATTGGAAAATGTTACAAAGTTAATGAACAAAGCAGGATACAAAATTTTATATCGTGTGTATGCACACACATGATACAGGTATAAATTACACTTACATACATACTTATGGGGATAAGACTTATGAAATACTCCAAAATAAAAATATAGGGATTATGGTAGGACAAGAGAATTAGAGATGGTTTTCAATTTTTCTTTTTTTTTTTTTTCTTTTTTTTTTGCATCTATCCTTTCTGAATTGTCTTTAATGGGTATACAGTACTTAACATGAGAAGGAAAAAATGCTATAGTGAGAGTTGTATCAAGTGCTGAGAGTTAGATGAAACTAGAACAGTGCTATTCCTATGCTTCTAAACCTCTTCTCTTGCCTTTGGTTCTTTGGGTTTATTTTCCTTTGACTTTCCTGTTCTTTTGCTGTTAACTTTTTTTTTTTTTTTTTAAGATTTTATTTCTTTATTTTTAGAGAGGAGTAGGGAGGGAGGAAGAGAGGGAGAGAAACATCAATGTGTGGCTGCCTCTCACACACCCACTGCTGGGGACCTGGCCCACAACCCAGCACGTGCCCTGACTGGGAATCTAACCAGCAACCTTTGGTTGCAGGCTGGCACTCAGTCCACTGGTAACTATTGATTAAATGAAAGGAACAGCATAAACAAAGGTGTGGAGGTGGGGATGAGTGTGACGTGTAGGTAAAGTCAAGAAGAATGTCCGTCTGCAAGAGAGATGGAGGCAGTAGTAGAATTTGGATGAGATTATCTCCAAGGCCCCTTCTAAGGTTGGAATTCTGTGATTCCCTAACTTTTTCTGTTCCTTATCTTCAGTGACTTCCCCTTCTTTAAAAGACTTTTCTCTTACAGTCTGTGGTTTTGTACCTTTCTTGTTTATCTGCATCTTTGGCCACTCCCTTTTCCTCTGCTGCCCATTTCTCCTGAGCCCTCTTTGGGTCATGCCTGAGGCTCAGCAGTTGGCCTCCCGCTCTCCTTTATCACCCTCGCTGATGGTTATCTCCACTCAGATTCTTTCATGAAACCTACTAAGGTGGCACAAATTTAGACCCAGTAGTTCTGAAATAGCACAAATAACATTCTTTTGTTGTTAAATTTGAGAGTCATGATCTCATATAAGTAAGATATCTTGTCTTGTTTCTCTCATAGACACTTACAGCCACCGAGTGCCATTACACAAACCTACGGATTGGGAGAGGAAGATCCTGATATGGTCAGGTCGCTTCAAAAAGGAAGATGAAATCCCAGAGACCGTGTCGTGAGTGTTGTACTTAGGGTTGTAAGCAGCTTTTATTTCTCACTGATTTGTTTTAAAGGAAAAGCAGTTCCTCTGAGTCTGATTATTTAAAAACTTTTAACCAAATTTTAAAACAGTTTTCACTTTTCTAAATGTTTCCTCTTTATCAAGTATCTGGAATAAAAACAGTGCTTGGAAATTGGTGTCTTATCATTGATATGTTATGTAGTGCCCAGATACTCTGAAGCCTACTGATTAGATTTCTTCTTCTTCTAGCTACAGAAATGTGACTAAACAGTTATATTCACTCTTTTAGTTTGTTTTAATCTGGGTCTACCAGTTAGGTACTTATGACAATAACCATATTCCGTGCAGTTCACTCAAGTGCTCAGACACAGGCACAAAAGTTTCCTAGATCTATCTGGGATCCAGGAAAGAGTGCCTTCTGTCACCACCTTCCTAAAACCCAGCTCTGGCTGGGATCTTGGGACTTTTTCAGAGTCTGTAGATGATGAGTACATGTTCCTCTAACCCAGGGTTTCTCAACCTTCTGCACTGTTGACATTTCGGGCCAGATAATTTTTATTGTTGGGGGCTGTCTTGTGCATTAATAGGATGTTTAGCAGCATCCCTGTCCTCTTTGTTCTCATAGATGCCAATAGCAGTCGTTAATGACAAACAAAAATGTCTCCCGACATTGTCAAATGTCCCCTGATGGAACAAAGTCACTCCTAGTTGAGAATCACTGCCTCACTGATTGGTTTGCATCTTGGCCAAGAGAGATTCTGAAAAATAGATGCCATCTACCCTGTGGGGCATCCTCCTCCTCAGAGATAGAGATTAGGGACAAAGCTCCTGGACGTTCCCTGCTGCAAGGAAACTGTTCCTGCACCTTTTGATTTCTGGCTTCAAGTCATGATTGCAAAAGATACAGGTTCATTCAAGGTCCTTTCCCAGGAAAATAAGTAGTATTTGTCTTCCGTTTACAACAGCTTTAGAAAAGAGTCCTTCTGCTTCTGCATGTCAAATTAAATAGCACGTTATTTAAACAGGAAAAGTTATTTCAGCAGAAAAGCCCTGCTCCTTCTTTGTTCAAGTGACAACATACTCTTTTGGGAAATTTCAGTGACATCAAATTCTTGCCTGTCCCAATTCCTTCCTGAAAGTCCCAGAAGAAAACCGGTATATACCCATGGTCCAAATAGGTGCTATATAGACTTTGCTGTGGAATACCTTCTTCACTTGACCTTGTAGGTGGTTCCCAGATCCCCTCTAGCCCAAAGCACTACCTAGTGAGTTACCCTAGAACACCTTTTTTTCTCTTTTTTTAAATTATTATTTTTTTAATTTTTACTGTTCAAATACATTTGCCTCTTCCCACCACCACTTTCCCCTGCCCCACCAACCTCCACCTCCCTCCCTCAATCCTTCCCCACTTTGGCTTTGTCCATGGGTCCTTTACATATGTTCCTTGATTTGACCCTTCCCCTTCACTTCCCTGTTACCCCGCCGCCCCCCGCTCCTTCCTTCCCTCTTGACACTGTTGGTTTCTTTTTTCTTTCAATGTTGCTGGTTATATTTTCCATGCTTGTCCGTTTTGTTGATTAGGTTCCACTTATAGGTGAGATCATATGGTATTTGTCTTTCGCCCCCCGGCTTATTTCACTTAGCATAATATTCTCCAGTTCCATCCATGCTGTTGCGAAGGGTAGTAGCTCTTTCTTTCTTTCTGCTGCGTAGTCTTCCCTTGTGTGAATGTACCATCGTATTTTGATCCACTCATTTACTGATGGGCACTTAGGTTGCTTCCAGCACTTAGCGATTGTAAATTGTGCTGCTATGAACATGGGGTTGCATAGGTTCTTTTGAATTGATGTTTGGGGATTCTTAGGGTATAATCCCAACTGTGGAATCTCTGGGTCAAACAGCAGTTCCATTTTTAGCTTTCTGAGGAAGTTCAAAACTGTTTTCCACAGTGGCTGCACCAGTCTGCATTCCATCAACAGTGCACTAGGGTTCCCTAGAAGGCCTTTTTCTGAACCTGGGCAACCATTTTTCTTTGTGCTCGTAGTTCTGAACAGGCACTGCTTCACTTGCCCATTGTGATTGCTCCTGTAGAATGGAGAGCAACATCATGGCCTTATTTATGTGCACTTTACTTTTTTTAAAGATCCTATATATTTATTTTTAGGGGAAGGAGAAAGAGAGAGAGAGAAACATCGGTATGTGAGAATCATCGATCGGTTGTCTCTCATGCCCCTAACTGGGGACCAAACCTAAAACCTAGGCATGTGCCCTGATGAGGAATCAAACCAGCAACCTTTTGATTTGCAGCATGACGCTCAGCCTACTGAGCCACACCAGTTAGGGCTTTTTAAATGTTCCCTCAAAAGTAACCTCTATCACTTTTCATGAGGATCACAGCACTTCAGTTGGAAAAATACCAGTTCACATAAAGTATTGTCAACATGGGTAGTTAGTTTGTGGTTGGTGGGATCTTAGATGCTCTTAGTAGAGCAACTCACTGTCCTTAGCAGTTGTCCCTGTTTTCTCCCACCTGCAGGCCCAGCTTCAGTGCCTGGAGCACTCCATGCACATTGCTGCCTCAGTGGGTCCCAGCTCTTACCTCACAGGGTGCTTTCACCCTGCTTTCAAGGCGCTCCTCCTAACCACCTGCTGCGTCTCAGACCCTGTTGCTTCCTTCCAAGCACTTCTAAAGCACTTTTCATTCCTTGATTTCAAACATAATATGTGTGAAAAATGGGGACGGGGTGGGGGAATAGTTAGCATTCCTATCCCATCATCTAGAGATAATCACTTCCTATTTATAACCCACTGAGCAGCCCAGTTCTCTATCCTGGGCCCGCTAGGGCCCCACATGCCCTGTCCTGAAGCCCTACCATACACTCAAGTGATAGAACTTAGACCCATTCCCCCCACCTGCAGAATCATCAAGGTAGAAGGGGCTTCTCCTCAAACTCTTTCTTGTTTGGCCTCTGGACTTTCACACAAGAATGATAATCTAACTCTAACCCTCAACTTCCTGTTAAGGCAAATGGATCTGTATTCTGTGGATGTATTAGAAGAGGGACTTGCCAAAGAGCTAAAGTTCACTGTCACTCAATTTTAGCAAAACATTAGTTAAAAGATAAACATTAATGGAGTATTGCTTTATGCTGTCCCAGATATTCTCAAATCTATTCCTGGTTCAAGGCAGAGAACAGAAGACTTGGGTATAAATAGCACATTGTTTAACTTTCTCCTGTTTGTTTTCTTCTGAACTGTGCTTTGTGTTGAAACTTACGAGGCTTATTGCAGTATCTGTTGTTGGGATATTATTCAGGGAATCATTATATCCAGAATATCTTCTTCAGATATTGGCTACTAATGTGAAACTTGAGAGCCAAAAACTGGGCCCACATTAACAAGCATAGATGAATATGCCTTGCCTTGTTGAGGGGGGGACTTTGTTCCAGGCTTCACTTTCTATCTTCATACTTTCTCCTTTCTTTCCTACTTCAAATTTGTGCTATCTCATTGTATTTTATAAATAAATATAAAGTGAGTTGTAAAAATGCCCCATTTGTCCTAAAAGTTCTATAAGATCTCCAGGCCCCACCTCCTTTTTTACATTTATAGGCACCACTCCACTTCTGATTTGTGGTACAGAGCTGTATATCCTGCTGGCAGCTTCAGAAAATGAACTTTCTCTCCTGATCTCATTGTATTATCAGGTTTGAGATGCTCGACGCTGCAAAGAACAAGATCCGGGTGAAGATCAGCTACGTAATGATCGCCCTGACAGTGGCAGGGTGCGTCTTGATGGTTATTGAGGGCAAGAAGGTGAGAGTGGGCTTCCTCTCTCTGTTTTCCAAAAAAGACCTAGAGGAAACCAGGATAGACTCTCATATTTATTCTCTGAGAAGAAGTGGCTACTTTCTACACAAGAAATTATAAGAAACAAAATGAGATATCGTAGGCACAAACCTAGCAAGCCTAGGATATCACACGTAGGGATGAACAACAAATCCTAATCTTGGCATAGAGGACTAAATTTTACATAAAGTAAAAAGTATTTAGTTACCCACAGATATCTGAAATAATGTGAAATAAGAAATATGACACTGAGAAATTCAATGATAGCTCCATGCATGTCTATAAAGCACTCTCAGTACTTGGGCTTATTTATCCTCAGTCTAACTGCCTTAATCCTGGTGAACAGTTTTACCATGTTCTTTACTTTGTGCTCAGCCAAGTTGGGGCATATGTCTGAAGACCATAGCTCCTTGGCAGTACCTAGGAGTTCAAGTCCAGAAATTACTGTTTTTAACGTAGATAACCATTAATAATTATCACTGAGTGACCTGTCTGCCAAGTATTGTACTTTGCTGTTATCTCAATTGAACCTCACAACACTGTAAGGTAGATACTATTATTAGGACCTCATTTATAGCTGAGGAAACATAGCTTAGAAAGCTTTAGTACCTTGCCCAAGGTCATGCACCTCCCTAATGGTAGAGCCACAGTTTAAACCTCAACCTGATTGAGGTGATAGCAAAATTGCTCCCACTTATTGAGTGCTTATGTATAGCAGGCCATTCAACTTATTTAATTACCACAATAACCCTAAGAACCTAAGAGGTGGTTCTCTTATTATGTGTTTTAAAGAACATGAAGCTTAGAAGATGTTAAGTAATTTTCCCAAAGTCACATAGCTAATAAGCACCAAGATAAAAATTGAGAGCCAAGATTGCAACTTACCAATCCTCATACTATACTATCTTGTACAGATTACAGTGTAGTTACTTTTATATGCAGCAGCAATGGTCAAACATTTATTTTTTGTTAAAGATTTTATTTAGTTATTTTTAGAGAGAGGGGAAGGGAGGGAGAAAAAGAGAGAGAGAAACATCGATGCTGGAGAGAAACATCAATGCTAGAGAGAAACATCGATCAGTTGTTTTTCATATGCATCCTTACCAGGGACTGAACCCGCAACCCAGGCATGTGCCCTGACTGGTAATTGAACCAGCAACCTTTTCTTTTGTGGGACAATGCCCAACCAACTGAGCCACACCAGTCAGAACCAAACCTTTATTTTAATACTGTGTATCACAGCTTTCCTGTGGAAAGAGATGTCTTGTATCTATTACCAGATGTTATCCCAACCCAGTGATAACTGACCTCCTTATCCCAAGAGTCTAGAGTAAAAGGAAATGAACTTCCGGCTCTTGTTCAGAGTCTTGGAATGGAAGATACTAGGATCTCTTCTAGCTTCATCCAAGGGTATATATACACTGTGTTCTTTAAAGATTTTTTAAAAATTTATTTTTAAAGAGAAGGGAAGGGAGGGAGGAAGAGAGGGAGAGAAACATCAGTTGGTTGTCTCTCTCATGGCCCCAGCTGGTCATGTGCCCTAACTAGGAATCAAACTGGCAGTCTTTCACACACAACCCACTGAGCCATACCGGTCAGGGCTACACTGTGTTCTTTAGAGAGTTCCTCTCCTGTTTTGTATCATAAAGCCGTATTATTTGGTTTTTATGGAACTATCTTTTTTCTAAAAAGTTGGTAGATGCTACTGGAATGGAAAACTTTTGAACTTAATGTGATTCAGAAGAGGGAAATTAGCCGCTCTCTTTTGTACTCACCCTCCACTTACCATGCAGTCTCCCCCACTTCCCACACCTAACACTTTACATATGAAATTACACAGATATAATAAAATACTACCGTATGGGGTGATAGTGTCACTTATTTGGTATAAAAATTTTAAAACTGGTCTATTAATATAAGCTTCACGGAAGTGTAACAGGTCACAGGGAGGGAAGCAAGGGTAGAGGATGTTTGCCTCTCCCCCACTGCTGTTTTTTCTCAAGATGGAAGAGTAGGATGTATGTCGCAGGAAGTCATCGATGGCAGTAGTTGGTAAAGTAGTTGGGATCCCCAAAGCAGAATGTTTTTGGTAAAAAACGGAGTAAGGAACTAGAAGAGTGTGAAAGTTATGAATGATTTAGAGGAAAAAAGGATAGCAACAAAGAAAAGCAAAAGGAGGAAAAGGCAATAAAAATGGAATTGAGAGGGTATTTAATATTGAAGGTAGGAAAAGGGGAAAGACAAGGGAAGGGAATAAATTGTAAGAGAAGAGAGACTGGAAGATTGAATGAATGAGGCCAGAAAGGAAGAACAGTGCCTGAGCGGATGGACTGCTGTGCTGGGAAGCATTAGAGGAAGCAGAAGGCACCTGGAGGGGACTGCGGGGCCCGGTGTGCATGCAGCAGGCCAGTCTGGTCTTGTCCTGCCCTAGGTAACTTGCTGACATCGGTGCAAGGTAATGGCATCACTGCCAAATGGGCATAAATAATTACGTGTTCAAATTGTTTCATTTTAGGCTGCCAGAAGACACGAGTCTTTAACAAGCCTGAACTTAGAAAAGAAGGCTCGTCTGAGAGAGGAAGCAGCTCTGAAGGCCAAAACAGAGTAGCAGAGGCATTCGTGTTGGCTAGATTTTGAAAATCCAGGAGTAATGTTTCAGCAACAAGCCTGTATTAAAAAGAATGTGGTATGAGGATCCATTTCATTAAAGTATGGTTTGTGCAAACATACCATTTCCCTATTTTGCTTAAGAGGTACCAATAAATTTTCTTAAAGAACTGACTTGCTTCATTTAATGTCTTTCATCTAGGTTAAGTGCATTCTCTCAGATTTTTGGTAAAATGAAAGAATGAAAAATGAGACAACTTATTTTGACTTTCATAGTAACTCTCCTTTAGAGTCAGGTACCATATCTTACTTTAATTCCTATTACCCATGTGACTTCTCCCCAGAAGGCAAAATGACTTCTCTCTCTGCATTTCCCTCCTTTGTATTCATTTTGGAGAGATAAGGAAGGCCAGCTGAGTACACTGCCCAAGTGCACCTTTGAGAGCTGCTTCTCAGAGCCCTGGAGAGCAGTCAGACCACACTTGGCCATTTTGGGGTCTGCTGACAGACAGGTGTCCTGGCAAGGTGCTGAGAATGATCTGGCCACAAGTTTCTAGGGGATTTTGAAATCCCAGCCTCGTGGTGTTGCTTGGGGCCAGCAGTCACCTATTCTGCTCCTTGGCTTCAAATTCCCAACTGGTCCTTCTGCGGCCTTTACTGCATTCTGTTACAAAAATCTATCAAGTGCATTTTCTCATTAGTGTTGAAAAATAAGGATTTGCACCTGGTATGTATCTCACTTTGCGATACCAAACTGTCATATTTAGGTATGGATGCTGGTTTCTATTTTAAGTATTTTTCTCACAAGTGAAAACAGATGACAAATCCTCATAGCCGTATCAACCTGCTGGATCTCCTAAGAGGGTTGAACAGATTTAAAAAGCAGTATGTGCAGCTTTTTGGGAACTTGGTTTAATAAAATACTCAGTAAAATGTAATACATCAGTCTACCTATAGCTTCATAATCTGATGTTAATGATGTCTATTTATATATTTTAGAATGACAACTTTTTAGATACCAAATTCTTTGATTTTTATCACTTGAAAATTATGAAGATCATTTCTTATACATTTTAGCAGATAAGTTTTTCTTGATTATTTTGGAACACTTATGTTACATCTTACCTAAACCAATGTTATAAATATGGGTAAATTTTAATGTACTTTTTAAAAATAAGTACTCTTCATAGAACAATACCATTATTAACTTCTAAAGTAGCATTTTCAAGTGTTGTATCTTAGAGATTTATTAAATAAATTTATATTTATTTATTAAAAATATTTGATAATATTTATTAAATTATTTAATAAATATTATTAAATAAAAATATTTAACTAAAGCTCACAGATGTTACAGTGAAGCAAGAATTTACACAATCATTTCTCATTTTGTGTCATTCTATTCAGTAACGTATAGTGACTACCTCTTTATGGGTTAAATACAAATTTCTTGGCCAGAATTAGATAGACCGGCCCCTAGCTAATCCCACTTCTCCCGGTACCCTCCCATACTAACTTCTTAGCAGTCATTCCCTACTAATAACTCTAACATCTTAGGTGCCTCAGAACTTGTCAAGCAAATCAGATATAATGAGCACTAGTATAAGATACTGTAGAATAACAAATAAAGACAGGTTTGCTCTTGATACTTTCAATTAAATTGTACTATCTTTTGCTTAATTTCTAGATTTTTTTTGTTTATCATATTTCTATAGGTAGTGGGCAGAAACCCACCTTATATTTTCTATAAGTCCTATGTAAAGTTAATATGTAAGGCTCTACCCAGATACTTTTAATCAACAAAAATAATAGTATGGGGAATTGATTCCAAAAATTTAGTGAAAGCAGGTGAAGAATGAAGTGTTGATGGTATAATTCACTGTCATTTATCAAACATTACTTGAGTCCACTGAATATACAAAAAGTGAGAATACAAAGAGGAATAATGTACTTATTGGCTCCAAGAGCACATAATATACTGGAAACATGGCCCACGAAACCATTACAATTGGTAAATGATATATTTTAACTTTAATAACGGAAACTATAGAAATAGCAAGAAAACCTAACTCAGCTGTCAGTTATGGTTGGAGTCGGGCAGGCAGTGATGGCTCCACAATACAGTGATTTCTGATCTAAGTTTTGAAGCGTGGGTAGGAGCTGGAGAGTCTGATGCAGTGCAAGAGAGCAGCCTCCCACTCAGACATTTAGTTTGCTTGAAAATTATGACAGGGCACAACCTGGTAAGGCATCAAGGGGTCCTTTAGTAAAACGCCATTTACAATGTTTTAGACTTTCAGAACAAACCTAACCATCCCGTTTTCCCCAATTTGAAGGCTTGATTCCGTGGACCATTTCACATCCCATCATGTAGACCATTCACTTAAAGTGTGTGAGTGGCATCTGACATACCTCTTCAATCCACCATCACCACAGGCTTATGTTCTTACTCATCTGATCTCCCAAACCAAAAACCTCGGAGTTACTCCAAACTCCTTTGCTCCCCTCATTTAATCAGTCATCTGTCATGTGAATCTTCTAAATATTTCCCAGATATCAATATACCAATCTCTAGAATAGTCATTGAGAGGAATAGAATGGCAATCTGTTCAGGGACAGACATAAGAGGCTAATAACAGACTTTAAGATTAAAAGTCAGGAGCCCTAGGTTCTAGACTTGCTTTTCAAACCGTCTTGTTTTGTAAATTTAGGTTATAGGTCACAAAATCTAATATAACCCAAGACAATGTTAAAAAGAAATACAAAACCATGCCAAAATTAAGAGAACCCATCTTCTCAAATGTCTTTTTTCCAGTTTGGCTCTACTTGCTTTCTAGAGTTTAGTGGTTACTCATCCACAGTTTAACCGTTTTGTCATTTCCTAATGCTGCTGATGCAATGATGTTTTCTGTAGGATGACAAGCTGTTGCGATTACGACGTCTGTATGACCTTGTAATTTCTGTACAATCTCTTTAGTCTGAAGATTCCAAATGTAAACCAGGTTATCCTCTGAACCAGACACAATCCACTTTCCACCAGTAACTGAAAAGTTGGCAAATATGCAGTATTTCTCATTCTTATGACCAGTGTATGTCTTCAGGCATCTACCTCTACTGTAATCCCATAGTTTAAGAGTATTGTCCAAAGTTGCAATGAGAATATATTTACCATTCGGAGAAAATTTTACAAAAGAGACAGGAGGGTTATCATCAGCAACAAGTGTTTTTAAACACTGACCTGATGCAGCATCCCAGATTCTACAGACACCATCATAACTACCAGACACTATCAAGGACCCATTACAATTAAAATGAACAGCAGAAACTGGGTCAGAATGAGCAGACAAAGTCTTGAGACACTTTCCCGTTTTCACCTCCCATATTTTCACACTCTCATCAAAAGATCCTGAAATAATGAGGCTGGATGGTGGATTGAAATTACAGCAAAACACATAATTACTGTGTCCCTTCAGCGTTTTCAGACACTTTCCAGATCTCACATCCCAAATCTTCAGAGTTTTATCATCTGAGGCAGAAACAAGACGCCTGGAATCTGATGACCAATCAACATCTGATATTTCCAGATTGTGACCATAAAGTGTTTTCTCATATTTTCCATCATAGGCTCCCCAAATTATAATTACTTTATCAGCAGAAGAACTTGCTAGCCATTCTCCACTAGGACTAAACTTAACCGATGATACTGCTTCCGTATGTCCCACGAGAGTACATCTGAGAGCATAGTTTGGTTTTTCAGACTCTTGTTTGCTGGGATTGGCTGATGAGGTGATGGCCGACTCTACTTTGATGTCTGACTTCTTTGTTGCCATGGCTCTGAAGCTCCAAGTCAGTAGGTTGGTTAGGCGTCAGGTCCTGAACCAGGCAGCCCGGTATTTTGGCTTTCTGCCCATCAAAATGAAGATTAAAGAATCAGACTCAAAAACAAATGGTCTTTAATGATTACAGTTCCTAGATGTCTTTACGATATACACTGATTCAGCCGCACGGCTTTGGACCACTTTTTCCTCGCTTCCCCCTGGAAACAACTACTTGAGAACTATTATTAAAAAGGCCCCATGCCCTATCGGCAAGTAAGATATTAATGTGTATTTTGCGAACGTATACAGCCGTCCAAAGCAGCGGAGGTAAGCTCTACAGAACTATGTCTCAACTCCCCTCCCCCCAACTCCGACATCTTTGAGAACACTGAGCAAGCCTACCAGTCTGACAGACTTTATGTACTTGAGCATGAATGCATCACCGCTTTAAACATAAAATTTCATAAGCTAAGAGAGAATCTGCATCGACACCGTTACTTGAGGCACGGACCTGACGGCTGCATCCTGCAGCTGCAAACGGGTCCTCTCGGCCGCGTCAATCTAAAACGGAGGCCCAGTCGTAGAGTTCCTGCGCAGAGGGAGCGCCCCACCCCCAACCTTCTTCCGAGTCGAGGTGGCCAATGGGAGAGGCCTTCGTGCGCCTGCACGGGAGGAGGAGCCAAGGTTTCCTTCCGGTCTCCCTCGCTCCCCGCCGCCTCCGCTCCCCGTCGCCACTCCCACACTGGGTACTGCTTTCTTAGCTGAGTGGGGAGGGCGGCAGGACTGTCCCAGACCTGGACTGGCTAGCGAGGAAAGCAGTGAATATGTCATTTTTTTTTTTTTTTTTGGTCCTTTTGCAAACCGTGTGACAAGAAAGGACTTCATGTTCAATTCCCTTAGCCGCAGGGTTGAGCCCACGTTTGGGACAGGAGCCGCCCACTGTGCATTTCAGAAATGTAGCTAAGGTCGTCGACCCACCTAAACGCTATTGACTACATGTAAGCTGCTGCATTCCCTAAAGGTTTAGGGAAGGATAAAGAATTTGTGCTAGGGGGTTTTAAAGGCCAGTGGTCATGACATGGTGGTAGTCCAGGGGGAAAACGAGCGAATGTTGTTTTAGCACTCCCTTACGGTTTATGCCTCCAAAGAAAATTAAGAAAAGTTCATATTTTCTCAGGTGCTTGAGACAGAAAAGGACCAAGTAGTAGATGGAATGGGTTAAGAAGTGTGTAAGGTTATTCGTAATTAGGCTTTAGAGACCTTACACTAGTTTTAAGAAATGAGTAATGGCTGTGAAGGTATTAACGTAAACCATACATGCTTCAGTTGTAAGTTACTCTTCTTTAAACAAAAATAGGTTTACCTAAAACTTGGTAGCGCCTCCAATTCCCCAATAAAGGATGCCCGAGAGAGTCAGTGTTGTTTTGAAAGGCTTTCTTGGTAGCTGAGTTGAAGTCAAAAGGCAGGTATCCCTCGTGTTTTCTGTCAATCAACGACTGAAACATTCAGAAACAGTGGGTTTCCTATCATATAAAGGGTAATTCAAAGTCTTGCCCTTTGTAAGGCACAACAGCACAATTAGGTCACCTATAATACTTTAAGATTCTACTACTTTAGTTTGGAATTTAGATAGGAATTGCACGCATGCTTTAGGCTTAGCTAATGCAAGTTAATGAGATAAACACAATCAGGAGTTCCTGGGAATGGGGAGAGCATCTTTAAAATGGTTTGGAGCTTCCGTTTACATGCACTGTGACTCTTCTTAGCCATGGACCGCCCCTCTGTAAAACTTTAAAAAGACAAACCTTTTCCACTCTATCATATCTTAAAGCTCAATTCTGATTAAACTCTGCCTCCTCCCTCTCCTTTCCTCCTCCCATTAGCCTGGATTAGTGTGATTTTTACTGGGAAGCTTACACACACTTTAAATTCTGCATCAATTGAAATTATTTCCATTATAATTAATTCATTAGAAGTAAATTTAAAAGCACTTCAGAAAACAAAGTGTAGGCTTTGTTTCAAAGAACTTAAGTAAATCTCTATTTTTCTAGTAAGTTCCATGCTCGAGGCAAATAAGGAGAAAATTAGGCAAGGCAAACACAGGACATGAAGACTAGGATGGGGTGTTGGTGCTGGAGTCGAGTTAGCCCACTAGACCCATCACAAGCATGAGGACAAGGGGGCTCACAAGCAGGTGTTGACAGGACTATGCAGAAAAATAACTTTCTTCGAATTTTTCCAGAATTTGACTGAAAAACTGAAAAGAATTTCTCCAGTATTAAAATCCACTTTGATGTCTAGAATTTTTTTTACAAATAGCACCAGGAATTCATGTAAAGAAAATTAAAGCTAGGACTATAATTAAACCATTATTCATTAGTCATGTTCTAATACTAGTATATAGTCCTAATATTGCAGTCCTTGTGAATTAGGACTGAGAATCTCATAGCTTATTTCCTTGGGGGCAGGGGGCATCAGAAATTGTGGAATGTGTAAAGAACAAGGAATGCTGATACAGGTAAAAGTGAAAGGAACCATTAATTTTCTATTTGCATTTGGGGCTCTCAAGTTTCTTATATGGTCCTGCTTTTAACAAATTTCTATTTTTGCTACCTTTAGTCATGACCAAATAAGTGATTTGAAAGTTTCCCTCCCTATAGAAATCAACTTATTTTCTTTACATGTCCCATCAAAGTTTTAAAACTGAAAGTCTCATCTGTGGTTGAAGGGTTTATTCTCCTAGCCCCTCAGTAAAATTTGTGAATACTCTATACAGAAGTGCCACTCAAATGGGTAATTTTTTAATTAAAAAGATTTAAATTTTTTTTTTATTCATTCACACTGGACAGCTATTATGTTGGCTCTTGTCTGTTTTTTTTTGGGGGGGGGGTTGAAAGGGGACATTGGAGAGAGCGGGAAACATCAATGTATGATTATATCTCACATGCCCCCTACTGGGGACCTGGCCTGCAACCCAGGCATGTGCCCTGCAATGGGAATCGAACCAGTGACCTTTCGGTTAGCAGGCCGGGGCTCAAAGCACTGAGCCACATCAGCCAGGGCTAAAAAGGTTTTCTTGATGTCAGACCTTACCATGGCCTGGGAGTGATTTTTACATTAAGGGCCTTTTTGCCCAACTTGCTTCATGGTAATTCAGATTACTAAATCCAGTCCTCAAAAATCAAATTTAATACAACTGTATACATACCCAATTGCTTAAGACCACCAGCTATTTAAACATGAAAATCTAGTTGGGCTAAATATGGGGTGGCCAAATAACTTATCTGAGACTTTCTTAACGTGAAAGGGACTAAAATAATTAACAGCATTAATTGATCTAAAAATTATGATTGCCCCCATCACACCAGTACAGCCACCACTGACTTCTCAAGGGGACTCTCCTCATAATCACAACATAATCTTGGAAAGCTCTACACTCTTTATATTGTATTTTATTATACCCCAGGCTGCCGAGCTCTCTCTCAAACCTGGTACTGTTCTCTCCCCACCACTGTGGTCTGGGTTTCTATTTTCTCCTTCCCCATTACTCTTAAATAATGCTGGGCCCAAGCGGTTTAGGTAAGGAAGTGACCCACATTGCGGACATCCACTGGAATCCATTGGCTTCCTGGGGTTAAGTACCATAGGTATAGAGAAAGGACTTTTAACTTTTTTCTCTGCAAGAACATGCACGAATCACAGAAATGACTTTTTCCCTAAAACAATTTTTCAAAATAGCACATGAAATAGCAGTAATAATCTAAGCAGGCTAAAATAAACTTGTAAAACCAGCAATTTTGCAGAGTGTAGTCTGCGGGAACTCAGGCTATGTTTTGCTTTAATATTTTGTTTTCAGGAAAAAAAAAAAAAAAACCTGGTCAGTGGAATCTCTAAAAAATGGCATTGAAATAATCATGGGATGAAGAAATACACTCTTTGTTTCTACTGATCATTTAAATTGGAGGAATGGATAAAAAAAATTTTTTTCATGCAGCAACATATACTATGTAAAAATTAACAAATCCTTAATAGCCTAAGGCAACCACCAACTTCCACATCAGTTGGATATAATTGGCCAAAAAGTTTCTAACTTTAAAATATGCTGGAAGAGACCAGTGAGCTAGTTTTAGTATAAAATACATGTCTTAGCTATCCTGCAAAATATACTTGTTAATTTCTCTCAGAAGGCATTGGTTTTTGTTTTTAATGTAGCAAACCTCTGCTATGACAATGTTTGTTTTTGTAAACTTCAGGTCAAATTTTGTCTCCTGAAAGGTTACTACATATGAAACACATTTTAAGACAATAGCGTTAAGGGTTATTAACCCTGATTTCAAACATAAAGGAATTCCTTTGAACTTTCAGTACATACCCTTTACTAATATCACATAGATGCATATTCCTTCATTCATTTAGTATTTATTGAATATCTACTAGGTGCAAGGCACTCACCCATGGCCTGACATACTGCATTCAAGTACAAAGAATCATTAGAGCCGTTCCAAACCAAAGTGTAAGAACACTTTGAAAAAGGACATAGAGAGGTCAAAATGATGAGGTAAACAGAACATACTCAACAGCATATATTAAAAGGTGATCTTGACACTTCTTGGGACAACACTGCTTTAGGAAATCAGCTGTGTTAAGTTCACACCTCTGGATGGCATTGCTTTCTAGGGCAAAATTCTTCATTCCAAAGCCTTTCGTTCCGTGTCAATACCTTCCACATTTGAGTTCCTTGAATGGAAACATGCTTCTGAGTTTAGCCATTATTCTACTAAATTCACAATCATTTGCATATTTTTAAAAATTCCTGTTATTTTACGTTTCATCATATACAATTTTAGCACCATGGAAGGGGAAAGATGTTTGGGCTGAGAGGGCCTACACACCAAATACGTTGAAAGCAACTTACACCTGATTTAGTCACTTTAAGAGTGCAGCTGATGGGGAAGACTCAGAAAGAACGGTCCAACACAACAAAAGCTGGCCTCACTGTGGCTGCCGTGACTAGTTCCAGGAGTTCCTAGCACAGACCGCCATGACCGTGACTGCGGTGTTCTCCGACATTAAACCTGCTGGACTTCTCCCCATCTGTGGACAGACAGTACCTAATGATTGTGACCTCGGGCAAAGTAAATTCTTCCAAGTCCTGATTTTGTCATCTATAACAAAGTGACAATTATTCACCTCAAGGAACAGTTAGAGGAGTGAAACAAAGGAAAGCCCTTAGCCAAATACCTGGGACACAGCAGATAATTTATCTTTATTTGACCTATAGGAAAACAAACTGACTTGTCTCCCCTTAGTTGAGAACAGGATAGAACTTCACCTACCCTGGACACTTTCTTCCCCCAAACTTCCAGATACATTTATGTCCTGTAACAATTTGATGTTTTTAAAATTAGCGATTTTGTTTCACTTTACCGCACATACTATATATATATAATATATATATATTATATATATATACACACATATATATATACATACACACACACACACTATATATCACTTTCGATGATAGGAAAAGGTAGCCCCAAAATTTCCTACCTGGTAGATAAGTATGTACTCTGCTCACTTCACAATAGAATAAAATGGCTTTATTAATTTCAGACAGCAAAAAAAATTCAGATTTGAGACTGCCATGTGTAGGTACACCTATCTCTGCAAATGAGCAAATTTTGGAATGTAGGAGGTAGCATACAGCTTATAAATATGAAAAACAAACAATGCCCATCAAGAAGTGGATTCCTTTACTGAACATCATTCTTAAACATCACAATTTTCTAATACATATACAGGGCAGGACAAAAGTAGGTTTACAGTTGTTCATATGGAATACAATACACAATAAGCTGTTTACTCACAAATGTAAACCTGCTTTTGCCTCACCCTGTATGAAAAACCCCCAAGCCCTAAAACAGTTATAACTTGCCTATTAATATAAAAATGTTCGCAAAACTAATGAGCCAGAAAGAAAAGTCCTTCAACCCAAGGTAAACCCTTTTGTAATGCAACCTCAAATTTTGGAAATAACTAAACTATTTATTTAGCACTAAGGAAGTAAATTTCAAAGTTGCCTGCGGGTAGCCATGTATTGATACAACAGAGGATTTAGATGACAAAGATTCATTTATAATATATACTACATATTTTTTAAGGCAAAATCAGCAACAATCTGGAATAACTCAGATTTATTGGGGGATAGTTATCAATGTTTCTATCTGTGACAATAATGATGAAAATGACCCAGAGTCCATTCAGTTTTATCTGGCAAAGAAACAATCCTAGGGCAATAATAGTTTTCAAAAGCAGTACAGCTGATAAAGGTGGTTTTAAAGGGTCCCAATTACTTAATGACAACATGAATTAATGTGTTTCATAGGAAAGTCTGTCCACTAAATCTCACCATTCTTCTTATCTATCATTTCCACCTTTCTCAATCTAATCATATTTTACCTGCTGGTCCTTCGGATACAAGGCGCCACTACTCCCAAATCCTCTCAGTGCTTTTTTCCCCACAGAAGTTCTCATTACAAAGAATCTATATTGAAAATTTTGAGCAGAAAAAAAGGGGTTGGCGGTGGTGATCAAGTCACTTCTCCCCTCATCAGTATATAAAACCGCAGTTTTCTGGTGTTGAAATTAATGTGCTTTTGTAATGAGTACCATCTTATTGATAGGGTATATTCAATAGACTGAAATTAAGAGAATCTGCCAGGTAGAGAACTAAAAATAGGACTTACAGTTACCTCCTGAAATGTCATTTTTACCACAAAAAAAGGCTGCTTTCTCAGTTCCAACAGTTATGCTGGGATTTAACATTTAGTCAATTCCAATTTTTATATTTAAAAAACACCATTATGTTCTAAGAAAATTTTTGCTTGTGGCTCATGAAATTCTAAGACAGGAGCAAGATAAATTCCTGTTTTAAACAGAAAATAGACCACATTAGTTGAGTGGACTTTGTTTTAATTCATTCATTAAGACACCTGCAATTGCTGGCAAAAATTTCCAACATATGCTATTCTAATGTGGAGAAACCACTTTGTGTGCTTTTTATTTTTTCCATTCAAATTGGTTTATCAACATGAACTGAAAAAATTTTAAATTATCCAAAAGGTACATAATTTAAAACATTCTAAAGAAATGACGTGTTACCAGTAATTTACAATTTTTAAAAACTCAGCCACAAAAGAAGTCAAAGCTAAAAACAAGACTTTTGCTATGAATCAGTGCTTCTATTACCCTTCTGAAAGAAGTTATATTTTAACGTGATGTAAAGGCAACATTGAAAGTTTTTCTTTAAATTAACCACCTAACTTGTCCCTAAAGTTACAAAGAATCAAAGTCTTTTACAGGTCAAGTGCAGTAAACTAAAATGTTCTTTCAGCACAAAGCAGCACTAGAAAAAGTAACAGTTATAAACGCGCGAGTTGACTAGTTTGCAGTGGCTGCTCCACCACCAACAGACATCAGACTGTATCCATCCAGAGCGGACACAACTACAGGTTAGGTGTGAAGACTGTGTCACAGGCTTGGCTGAAATGTCCTTTGTCTTTTTTTCTTTTTATTTTAAATGAAGTGGATTTTTAAAAAGTTCAAATCAGGTCGTGTAAGTTGACTTCTTAATTGACATGATGAGGTATGAGAGCGCTGAATATCCCTAACACTCAGCGGGATTTACCAGAGATGTAGAATAGCTTGTGAGGGGAATTCCCAAAGAACACAACTTTGGGGTTATAATGAACTCGAGAAGAAGACAAGATTAAAGAGGATTAAAAGGGTATTCTCTAAAACAGAAGTGAGCAACTCTTCCTTCTGAATTCATTTTGAATAGCTCATCAACAAATATAAATCTTCTGCAATAGTGTGTCCCAATATTGAGTCAAGATGGCCAACTAGCACCAAGAAGTTGTATGTTCGGCTGCAGTTCTCTTGGCAATTACACTTATTTTTTTGTTCCAGTCCAAGCACAAATGTACATCACTGAAGACAGTACTGGAAGTGCCATTTGCAGGTACAGACTGCAGTCATTAAATGAGCCAGAAGGCAGAAACTTTTTATTTCATGACGGGGGGGAGGGCAACTTCACCGGGCAGTACTAACTTGTACGAGATAAAATGACATGATTTGGGGGACAATAGAGTTCTAAGAAAAAGATCTCTGCCCTTATTTGAGTTAACAGGTCATGTTGAGAAGACGGTTATTCATTTATGATAAGGACGCTACATTAAGGGATCACATCTGCAGCATGGATACATTAGAATCATGCTGCATCCAATTAAAAAACACTTCCTAAGTAACCTTTAAAAGTGATGTGTTATCTGCCAGTCACAGAGGGGAAAAGCACCTAGGGTGAACTCGAATTTAATGAGGACCTTATCAGGACCACAAAGCCTGAAACATTTGTTTAAATGCAGAAACACAGCTTCTAGTCACACTGGTTAAGTTTGGGAAAACTGGAGGGGTTTTTTGTTGTTGTTTATTTTTCACTTTTTTATTGAATTACAGAATATGTTTTAGATTACTAAGGATTCTAAATCAGTCTTCAACCAGCATTAGAACTGAACCACTTCCAAATCCTAAGACATGGAAGACCAAAGAGAAGCAATAGCCATACAAATTACTATGTGCCCCTCTCCTTTCTGCTCTAAGGAAATCTTCAAACCAGTATCACATCTGAGAATCAAGTGTTAATGCTTCAGCATTCCTGACAACTAGAAAGCACATTCACTGAAGGCTGAAGGTGAAAGAGCAGATGGTTTAACTTTAACAGCTGTGAAGAATGGCGCCAATGTAGGAAAGAAAACCATCCAATCTCAGTAAGTATTAATGCAAATTTGGCTAGAAAAAGCCACCAGGTAATCCAAAGGTTCACTGTGGAAGAACTCATGAAAAGTACTCTGATGTATACACAATAGGTCTAACCATCTCCCTTGTTTGCAAGTAGTTGTGTGAAATTCAAGATAAAGTTTTAGTCTCATCTTTTAAATGTCAGTATTTTTCCCCACTTAAAAGGGAATGAAGGGGAGCCCTCTTTTCCCCCCACACAAAAAAGGAGAGCCACATTAATGTGTATATTCCTATGACTCTTATAATAAGTGCGGATCTCCAAAACCTAGGGATTTTCCTTAAGAGAGTGGGCCATTCTGGTTACACTTTTCTTAGAAGGGTAATCCACCACAGAGAGCCGGAGGTTTTCCAGATGTGTGTAAGAGAGCAGGTGCGCAAGACAAGCAAATGAGCGCAAACAGTATTATGGAAAACATTTGAGAAGTTAGCTCCATGAGGACTGTGGGCTCCACAAGAGGACTTGACTGGGTAGCCTGGTCTGACACAGGAACATAAAACCAGTGTATTGCTTCAAAGCTGGAAACCTTCCATAGGAGCCTCACATTGCTGGAAGATGTACTGCTGCTGGCTAAGGTCAACCTGGGGCGCAATGCTGCTGTCCTCATCCTCGGTACCAAAATAATGCTCAATTAGATCAAAGGCCTTCTGGTAGATCTCTTGGTTTTCATGACTCTGCAAGAACTCAATTTTATCCAGACCTAGAATAAAGAATAGTGGAAAAGCTCATTTATTTGTAGGAAATTCCAATGAAGCAATGTTTTGCCCTTTGTCTCCTTTCTTGAGGTAAAGGAAGACTCTCTTCCCTACTTATATCTCGTTATGTATTCTGTAATAGCATAGAAAGTATTGCTTGACATTATATCTGAATGCTAGTATTACAAATTGACATCTTAAGCCCGTGTGCAAGCAACAGCCAGTCCCCATATCATCCAGTTCCTAAGGCCAGTGGCAGAAGAGTTCCTACTGGACTGTACTTATGGCCTAATTAATTCTTGGCTCTGATTACCTGGGCTCTGAGCTATCCAGTATCATTCAACAAATGTGTAATATCCTTAAATCGGTCAGAATGAGTTTCTATTGCTTAAACTTACAAATCCTACTAAAAATTAGCCAACACATTCTCTTTATTAAGTTCAAGCCCATCTGAACTAGGCTTTCTTTCACTTGCAGGCATAAGCAGTCTAACAGATATAGCAATACCAGAAATAAATACTAACATTCCTCAAAGGGAAAAAAACATATATTCATATACAATGGGGACTCCAAAAAAACAGAATAGAAAAAAAAGTGTATTTATTCTTACATGTTTAAACTTCAATCACCTTCAAAGAACTCTCCATTTGATGCAATACACCTGACACCTTTTTTTTCCACTGCTTAAAACAGTTTTTGAACTCATCAATTTTGATGTCTTTTAGTGCTTCTGCTGATTTTTGTTTCACCTCTGCCATACCGGCAAAACGTTTCCTTTTGAGGGCTTTTTTCAGCCACAGAAGGAACAACAAAAAAAGTCACTCAAGGTGGGTCTGGGTGAATAGGGAAGGTGGGGCACAGGGGTCATGCCATTTTTGGTCAAAAACCGCTGAACGCTCAGCGTAGTGTGGGCAGGTGCACTCGTAAACCATCCATCTTACAATGGGCAAATGTGTCAAAAGACTCTTCAAAAAAAATTCACTGACACCAAACACAACTTCCTCACACCTGCTGTTACAATGAACAGATGGGTTCCTAGAACACTGACCTACCAAGGGAAACCTGTACTACAAGGGGCCCGTCCGCCAGAAGATAATTCTTTTTTTGGAGGGGTCACCTCTTGTACATATCCATACTAAAATATATATAAATAAAAAAAGTAACAATGGTTATCTCTGTGGAGAAAGATCTCTGAATAAAGATCATTTTTCTGCCCTGGCTGGTGTGGCTCAGTGGATTGAGTGCCGGCCTGTGAACCCAAAGGTTGCCAGTTTGATTCCCAGTCAGGGCACATGCCTGGGTTGCAGGCTAGGTCCCCGGTAGGGAGCACGTGAGATGCAACCACATATTGATGTTTCTCTCCCTTTCTTTTTCCCTCCTTTCCCCTCTCTCTAAAAGTAAGTAAAATCTTTAAAAATTTTTTAATTTTTTATACATTTCAAAATTGCTTACACTAAAAGCAGGTATAGCTTTTATAATCAGGTTTTAAAAAAAAGTTAAAAATCATTTTGGAAAATAATTCTGCATTAGCTGTTCAATTTGAAAAATGAATGTACCCCCATGACACCTAATTCCAATCTCAAAACAAACAAACCCCAGAACAGTGGTTTTTAACCCTGGCTATGCATTAAACCACTTAAAGAACTTAAAAGGTTAAAGTACACTGGTAAACTGATTGACTGAGTTAAGACTGGTATTAGAAGAATGAGGACGCCAAGTAACTTTTTAAGATGAAACTCTTGGAAATCTTTAAAAACTGGTTTGAGAGAGAAAAAAGGAGGGAGAGAGGTTGGGGGAAGGGAGACAGGTTGGAAGGAGGGAGAGAGAGAAACATCTACTTGTTGTTCCCCTTATTTATGCATTCACTGGTTGATTCTTTTATGTGCTGTGATCAGGGATTGAACCTGCAACCTTGGCATATCAGGACCACACTCTTAACTGACTGAGTTACCCAGCCAGGGCTTATTCATTAGAAACCTTTAAAGTCAGGAACTCTTTAGGGACACAGGAGCTGCTGGGTGCAATGCAAAATCACAGCTCTTAATCTTGTAAGAGAAAAGTAGTCAGGCAGCATCTACAGTAGATATGGATGTTCCTGAGGCTCAGATGGACTAGTAAGAATGCAAGAGTACTCACAAGAAAAAGCAATCAGGCAACTGGGAAGATCCTAAGAAGCCAATGCTTGTTTCTCTTCATATTTACAATACATATTTTCTTTGTATGTGTTCTCTAATGACAGATGTGGCCAGGCCAAGAGAAAAGCAAAGAGAACAAGAAAATAGTAATTTCAGGACATCCAATTAATACTCTATCTTACCATAAGCTTCTTCAATCAAAGCACAGTAGGGATTAATGCCAGTGCCGTTTCTTTTGGCTTCTTGTTCTCCGAGCCTCAGGATATTTTCCAAGCCATTCAGAGCAACCTGTACAATCTTAGAGTCCATGACTGTGAGAAGATCACAGAGTGGCTTGATACAACCCAGTTCAACGAGGTACCTAAGTTAATAAAAAGAGTAACTTACTAAAACAAAGATTTTAATTCAATAAAACTTACCAGGCTGGTGGAAGGGTCATCATCAACCTGACTAGAGAGAAAAAAAATAAGCACCTATTCAACAATACAAGATACCTTATTATACAAAAAAATAAAAACAAAAAAACACCCTGCAAATAAATGAAACAAAACCAGTCCTCTAGCAGCCAGTTCCATTCCTTTTTCCTTCCACAATTACTGGACACCAAGAAACTGGAATACTCTTTTCTTTTCCAATATGAGCAACTCATAAAATACAATAATTTCATCTTTGTTTCTACAGATAACTACATCTCTAAAACATGACACAACTGGTGTGAAAGTCAGCATATCAGGCCACTGTATTTTGTACATAGAACACTAAAAATTAAAGCTAAGAAGTCAACTCAATATTAAAATGAGCAAATGATCTGAACAAACACCTCACCAAAGATATACTAATGGAAAACAAGCACATGAACAGATACTCAACATCATATTACATGTCATTAAGGGACTGTAAATTAAAACAACAATGACCCTACATACCTATTAAAATGGCTAAAACCCAAAACACTGACAATATCAAATCCTGGCAAGATGTGGAACAACAGAAACTGATTTTTTGTTGGTGGGAATGCAAATTAGGATAAACCAATTTGGAAGACAGCCTGGCAGTTTTTTACAAAGCTTTCTATACAATCTAGTAATCACACTTCTTGGTATTTACCCAACTGAGATAAAACTTAAATCCAACAAAAACCTATACAACTAATATTTCCAGCAGCTTTATTCATAACTGCCAAAAACTGCAAGCAACCATGATGTTCTCTGATAGATGAATGAATAAATAAATGGTAGTCCATTCTGCCAATGGAGTATTATTCAGCAATAAAGAGAAATGAGCAATCAAGCTATGAAAAACCATGAAGTAACATTAAATGCCTATTACTAAGTGAAAGAAGCCAGTCTAATAAGACTCCATACATATTATTCTAAATATATGACATCCTAGAAAAGGCAAAATTTTTTGTGAAGACAACAGAAAGAACATTGGTTGCCATAGATTTGTGGGGGCGGGGGGAGGGGAAGGGAGCAGAGGACTCAGTGAAATAGAGGGCACTGTCAGGGTAGTGGAACTGTTCGTGTGATACTCCAATGGTGGAGCCATAACACTGTGCATTCACCAAAACCTGTGGAACTGTACAACACAAAGAATGATCATTAATATAAACTATGAACTTTAGTTAATAATTTATCAGTATTGGTTCATTAACTATACAAAATGTAACTACACTATGTGAGATGTTAATAATAGAGGAAACTGTGCAGGTGAGGGATGTGTATAGGAACTCTACTCTGTACTATCAATTTTTCTATAAATCTAAAAAGTTTGTTAAAAAAAGCCCTAATTTGTTTTTTAAAAAGTAGTTTTATGGTTTACTTAGCATTATTATTTACTTAGGAGTGAAATTTAATAGCACTGTGCCTAATTTTGTTTAAATATTTCCTGACAATTCAGACTACATGCTGCATGAACAGAACAGGTCAGTTATCTAGCCTTAAAGCCACTGCTGACCATTTCCCCTACTTTTAATACCACAGTTTTTAGTCAACCCTTTCTTCAACGTTATCTATATAATTCTCATTATTTTTTCTTAAAAAACAAAACCAAGCCTCTTTCTAACTGTCGATATGTTAGTTGTTGTAAATTTGAAAAACAAAAAAAAGCATTCAGAAAAACAAAAAGGTACCCAGAGATAGCCACCACTACTACATTCCAGCTGTGCTACTTACTTCGGGCAAATTATTTGATCTCTTTGTGCCTCAGTTTCCTCAAATGTAAAAGTCTGGGAACCACAGATTTATTACTGTCACAAAATCCCAGTAAAATTTTAGAACAGCAGATTAAAGATGAATTACATGTCTGCACTTAAACTTCACTAGACTATATAGGCAAGTCTACCGAATACCAATTGGTATTTCAGAGACTTGTTCACAATCTCCAAACTGTCCTCAAACTTGATCCTGATCTGCTCTTGATGTGATCTGTTCCTCCCAATAAAAATCCTGGCTGACCTCCAATCCTTTTATTTGACTTAAAAAGTTCATTTAGATTTGTAACATTGGTGTTATATTATGAAAACCAGTGTGCTAAAAACTTGATTAAGGATTAAAAACAAATTTTAAGGATGCTAGAAAGCTTCCAGAACTTGTATATAATTTGTTAAGTGGGTAATTTAAAAATGAACTATAAGATTATAGACTAAAATGTTCTTAAAAACTCTATCCAAAAATATGCTAATAAGCAAATCCAGAGCTCTGAAGATGTGAGATTTTTTAAAAAGATTTTATTTATTTATTTTAGAGAGGGGGAGGGAAGGAGGAAGAGAGAGAAACATCAATATGTGGTTGCCTCTCACATGCCCCCTACTGGGGATCTAGCCCTCAACCCAGGCATGTGTCCTGACTGGGAATCGAAGCAGTGACCCTTTGGTTTTCAGGCCAGCGCTCAATCCACTGAGCCACACCAGCCAGGGCTGAGGATGTGAGATTTTATTTGCAAAATATATTATCAGTACTTTGTATTGTGGCACTATTCATTTAATGAGTTTTGGGTTTTGCAATTTAGCCATTTAAAACATTTTAATGTATATTACCAGATGTGAGCAAACAGAGCAGATGACAACTTACTTTCCAAGGACATAAAGAATTAAAAGCCCTGCTTCCAGGTCAGTGGTGGCATCACTGAGTCACCAGGTACTACTTTGAATACCTTACAAGATCAGAAGTTATTTTCTGATGAAACCACTGGAGATTTAAAGACCATCATAGTGTTATTTTGCTATTGATGCAAATTTCTCTAAAGGCAGCAACGTACACCTAAAAACAAACAGGTGATCAAGGCATCTGGGCTGTTCAGGAGTTGTGAAGCAATATTATTTTGAGAAAATCCTCAGGGGAGGTTTGAAGACTTAAAAAAAAAGACTGGAAAACAAGCACAATTCTATGGTTAAAGTCTGGGAGTATCTCCTATAGGTGGGTATTTCAAACAGCTGGGTAAAGTGAGCACTGGTTATCAATGCTAGTTGGCTTATTGTGGCAGAAAACTACCATTAAGAAATTTTCTGGGTTACATTTGCTAAGGTAACAAGAAAATAAAAGTACCTAGGGATAAACCTAACCAAAGAGGTAAACAACCTATAGTCAGAAAACTACACAACACTGAAGAAAAAAATTAAGGAAGACAAATAAATGGAAACATATACCGTGTTCATGGATTGGAAGAATTAACATCATCTAAATGTCCATACGACCCAAAGCAATTTATAGATTCAATGCAATCCCTACTAAAATACCAGTAACATATTTCACAGACATAGAACAGGCACTTCAAAAATTTATATGGAACCATAAATGACCGTGAATAGCCACAGCAATTTTTAGAAAGGACAACAAAGTAGGAGGGATCACAATACCTGACCTCAAACTATATTACAAGGGCACTGTAGTCAAGACTTTGTGGTACTGGCGTAACAGAGATCAATGGAACAGAACAGAGAGCCTATAAATAAACCCATGTTTCTATGGTCAATTAATATTTGATGAAGGGGGCAGGAGCATAAAATGGAGTAAAAATAGCCTCTTCAACAAATGGTATTGGGAGACCTTGACAGCTATATGCAAAAAACTGAAACTTGACCACCAACTTACACTATACACAAACATAAACTCAAGATAGATGAAAAACTTAAATATAAGTCATGACACCATAAAAGTCCTAGAGGAGAACATAGGCAGGAAAATCTCAGATATCCCATGCAGCAGTATTTTCATCTATGTGTCCCCTAGATCAAGGGACATAAAGGAAAGAATAAACAAATGGGACGTCATCAAAATAAAAAGCTTCTGCACAGTTAAAGAAAACATCAGCAAAATGAAAACGGAACCAACAGTATGGAAAAATATATTTGCCAATGATACCTCGGACAGGGGTCTGATCTCCAAAATATATAAAGAAATCACATGACTCCACCGCGGGAAGACCAAAAATCCAATTAAAAAATAGGCAAAGGACCTGAACAGACACTTCTCCAAAGAAGACATACACAGGGCCCGGAGACATATGAAAGGATGCTCAGCATCACTAACCATCAGAGAAATGCAAATTAAAACCACAATGAGATACCATTTCACACCGGTCAAATGGCCATCATAAAGAAATCAACAAACAATGAAGTGTTGGAGAGGATTTGAAGAAAAGGGAACCCTAGTACATGGGGAGAATGCAGAGCGGTGTAGCCACTGTAGAATACAATACAGAATTTCCTCAAAAAACTAAAAATTGAACTGCTTTTTGACCCAGCAATTCCACTGCTGGGATTGTACCCTAAGAATCCCGAAACACCAATTCAAAAGAAACTATGCACCCCAATGTTCACAGCAGTACAATGTACAATAGCCAAGTGCTGGAAGCAACCTAAGTGCCCATCAGTAAATGAGTGAATCAAAAAACTGTGATATATTTACACAACGGAATACTTTGCAGCAGAAAGAAAGGAGCTCCTATCCTTCACAACAACATGGATGGAACTGGAGAGCATTACGCTAAGCGGAATAAGCCAGGGGGTGAAAGACAAATACCATATGATCTCACCTATAAGGGGAACCTAATAACAAAACAAATAAGCAAGCAAAATATAACCAGAAACAATGAAATAACAAACAAACTGACAGTGACAGGGGTGGGGCGGGGGGGATAACGGAGAAAAGAAGGGGAAGGGTGGTCAAGGAACATGTATAAAGGAAAGACCCTTGGGCAAAACTAAAGAGGGGTAGGACTGTGGGTGGGAGTTGGGGTTGGGTGGGGCGGGGGAAAGGGGTGGTGGAAAAATGGAGACAACTGTAGTTGAACAATAAAAAAAAAAAAGAAAATTTTCTGAGTCAGAAATATAGCCCACAAGAATACATTATCTGGAAAAGGGTATATTTCTCAAATTATATTAAAGTCTCAAACCTGAGAGAGCTGATCTAATTGGTAATTTTACATTTAGGAGTTTCTTTAGGAAGGAGAAATTTATGGGGAAGAAACCCACATACTCCAGAATAGAGGAAAGAGTTCTGAGAGACAGAATTGATCAGATTTCTTTGGATGAGCAACAAACTCAGTGTGTCTAAAATCAGCATCCTCAAATAGGGGTCTGCTTCTTCTGTGTCCTAATATTTATCAACAGCAGCCACATTTTCCCCATTCATCTCTAACTTTTCCCTTTCCTTTGTTACCTACAGCCTGCCACTTAATCCTATAGATCCTGCTGTTCCAAACTCAGATCCATATCCCATGCAATAGCTATTATCTTAATCTTGGCCATCACTGTACACTCAACTACTGCAATGGCATCTTAATTGCTCTCTTTTCTCTCAAAAGACCATCTTCTTCATTTCACTAAGTCTTCCTAAAACTAGGACCTATAGCAAGACTGGTCTGACTCTTCCAATAACATTTATTGTGCACATTCTCTCATACTTCTCGTGCTATTCTCTAAAAATTGCCAAATCTCTACCCAAATGGTAAGTTTCATTTCTTCCATGAAACACTAATTCCAGGCAACATTCTTTATCCCTCATTCTTAAGAACAACAGTATGTGTATATTTGGTTGTATTTAACCTAGAATTATGGGTATTTTCTAAGTTATTCTGATTCCTGCATCTAAATGTTGTCTTCCCAACAAGAATGAGCAGAAGCCACATAGATATCTTAACCAGAGATAAAGTCAGTTTATATTCTATAATCTGGACTGTAATATTTTTGTAATAATCTTTTAAGAAAAGTCTTCATCTAATTAAGGAGGAACTGCTAGAATACTGATAACTAAGTTATTATAAATAGCTATGCCAGATTTTAAAAAGGGGTAGTAGCCATTCTACTCTCCTCTAACAGAGCAAAATCCCTTGAATACTTTCTGATGAAAGCTATCACAGTACTTTAGGAAAGTTTTAAAAATACAGTGTACAGTTTAACCACTTCAATTAAGAGAACTGATTTTGTACACAATGTAGAGACGACTAATAATTATAAATCTAAATCTGAACATAAAACTTTCAACTGTTCAAATAACTTCTATAGCACTGCACATTACTGCCATCTGGTGGTGGCATACTTACAATCATAGTACATACATTAAGTCCTCACTTAACATTGTCAACAGGTTCTGCAACTTGAAGTGAACAGACATAATAAAACCTGTATTACCATAGGCTCATTGATATAAACAAGTTTCTACACTACAAAAAAAAAACAAACCCATTATTCAATGACTTGCTATACCCCAGAACCAGAATCTTGGAGGCTGAAAAAGACCTAATCTCATACAAGATCACATGGAAAGTCTTCTATGAATAACCTGTCCATGATGAACTTTATGGAAACAGCTACTGCACGTGTTAACCTATTTTACCTCTTATTTTCTGTACCTGATCAATTTCTGAAATGTTAGGATTACTTTACCTTTTCACTTTGAAATTCTCAATAGAGCATTAGAAATTGGCATTGGTTCAGTGCCTATATTTAACCCACAAAGCAATAATAGGAGAGGTAATGTTTCCCCAATACTACATGTGAGAAAGGGGCTGAGGCTTCAACACTCACTTGAAACCATCTTTCCCTCATCTACATTCCCCATAAAGTAAGTTAGAGTCTGGGTTCCATTTTTTTCTTCATCACTACTGCTTCTTTCTATCTGAAATACTTAATGGCTCTAATTTAGCATTTAATTATACAATATTCCTTTGAGGAATTGATTCTTCTCCACATTCATGTTTTTCAATTAGTTTACATTCAAATACATTTTGAATGTAAACTAATGTATTTGTTTCAGGTATACAGCGTAGTAGTTACACAATTATATAATTTACAAAGTGTTTTCCCTGATATTCCAACCCACCTGGCACCATACATAATTATTACAGTATTATTGACTATATTCCTTCTGTTGTACTTCACATTCCCATGACTATGTAGTAACTACCAATCTGTACTTCTCAATCCCTTCATCTTTTTCATCTAGCCCCCTAATCCCCCTCCCCTTTGGCAACCATCAATATGATCTCAGTATCCATGAGTCTGTTTCTGTTTTGTTTGTTTATATTATTCTTTAGATTCTACATATAAGTAAAATCATATGGTATTTGTCTTTCCCTATCTGACTTATTTCACTTAGCATGATACCCTCTAGGTCCATCCATGCTGTCACAAATGGCAAAGATTTCATTCTTTTTTTTATGATCCCTATTCATATTTATGCCTTTTCTAGCCACTGGGATTATAAACTGCTACAGGGGCCACTCTATCCTCAAGCTAATATGATCTCTCTCTCTTCACAGAATACTACAGTACTTCAGGAGACACTTGCCTCTACTGAATTTGGCACTTTACCCTACCTAAGGTAATACCTCTCTTTAAAGTCTGGTCAATGAAGACATTTAAACTAAAAATAGCAAGAGTTAGCTATTAAAGTTGAACTCTAAGGATTCTACAAGTAACCTTCCAGACTACTTATGTTTCCGACCAAGCAGCTCCACAGTAGGCTGAAGTCACCCCTATAATCATTTCAACTCCTTCAAACCTCAACTATGTCTTTACTTCTCACATCCCAGAATTTTTTCAGCAGGAAGGAATGGGAAAGGTATAAGGAATTAAATATATATTTGAGTCTAATTATGAAACCAAGTACAATCATCCAAGAGGTTGGAATTGAGCATTCTTAATTGGAAAACAAAAATAATTTTTTCTTTCATTTTTAAGACGCTACCTGGTTAGTACTTACTTGATCTGTTCAGCTGATCCTCCAGAAGTTGCATTTGTGATGGCCCAAGCTGCTTCTTTCCTTGTTCGAAACTCAGCAGTTTGTAATATACTAATGAGGGCTGGAAAAATGTTGGCATCTATCACAGTCTGAAATTAAGAAAAAAATTAAATGGAAAGGGAAATTACAAGATTTATAATGTCTAACCACTATTCTGTACACTTGAAACTAATACAAAACATTGAATGTCAACTGTAAATGACAAAATAAAAATATTTATAAAAGTGTTCATGATACTAATCATAACTTTTCAGCTGGTTTCACTAATGACTATCATCCCCCTGTTAAAAATAAATTACAAGTTAAATCCTCATTATCCCTAAGCCTTTTGGCCACACTTGGTATCAGTTACCCCCTCCCTGGAGTCTGTGACCTTATAATCTCCTAGTTTTCCCTTTGAATTTTCTCTTTTATTGTCCTCTCTCATTCCACCGCCAATAAATGATAAAAGCTCAATTCTCTGTTCCTCTGCTATTCTCATTTCTCTTACAGCACTCACCCTGACATAGGTGTTGTAGCTCTCTCGTACTTCTTTTTCACTGGAGCGCCAGCCCAGGATGGCCAACAGCTTACTTTAGGTCTGCTAATTGCCCCAAACACATCATCTGCCCTCTCTATCAGGTTTACTTTGAAATCTCTCTGGTTTACAAAGGCTCTCTTTGTATTTATTTATTTATTCTAAATTTAGTCAGTCACCATGTCTTTTACGTTTTCAATTTAAAATGCCCTGAGCCCATCTTGTCCTCTCCTCTAGCACAGCCATCGTCCTGTTCCAAGCCGCCAACTCCCATCCAGATTACCAGAACAGCTTGTAGTTGGACAGAGTATTTTATTGAATCCCTCTCATATACTAACACTAAAGAGTCTTCCTCAAATGACTTTCTTCACGTTTCTCCTTAGCTCAAGAACCTAAAATGCATTCATATCATTTCCTTTATCAACTGAGAAATTCTACGTAAGAGACTAGTGGTAGTAGGCAGTCACATGCAGCTGAAATAATTTCGTATCCATGCTACCAATGTCAGTCCCTGGCAGCACTATGTTAGGGGGTGACTAACTCATGTTTTCCTTGTCAATAAGTTTTTCTATTATACCAATGAGGAAAGTAAGCAAAGTTTAGTGGAAACACACTTCATCTTGGTCCTGTCTTTTACTAGAGGTGCTCTTGGGCAAATCATTTTATTTTTCTGAGCCTCGATTTCATCTATAAATGAGAATGTTAGATTAGATGACCTCTATGATTTCACTCAGCTCAAAGTCTCATAAACTGTTTTCCAACCTGTTGTTCCAGCCTTTCTCATGGCCTATGCTGAACCATTTGGCCCACTGCTAGTCTTCCACTTGGGTTACTCCTCCACTGATATAAGGAGAAAGGGAAAGGCAGACAACCAGTTAGAGAAAAATGGGTCCCCGGAGGTTCATGGAAAATCTGAAGCAATCCAATACACGAGTCCACTAGAAAATAAATATTTTACTTGGCAAAAATAAAGCTAATCTGTTTAGCATGAAGTCCAACAAAATACTGCAGGGATACAAGGCACTATTTCACTATCTTGCCAAATCATCAAATAGTAAAGGCAAAGGGAAATACCAAGACCTAAGTGTACATTCAAAAGTTGTAATTTTTTTAAAGTAGGATTTAAAAAAAGAAGTAGACTGACCAAATAAGACAAAAATCTTGAAAATTAGTGGTCTCCAAGGCAATAATGAAAAAAATATATTTTAAAGGCTGACAGAAAAAAAAACCTTACTTATCAATAAAAATTAAAGACAGGTGCTATAAAATTACCTGGATCTGGGCCCTATTTCCCGCTGTGATATTAGATATTGTCCAACATGCTTCCTTTTTGATAGATTCCTTTGGGCTACTGAGCAAATGCAATAAGCTCTGCAGAGCTGAACAATTCAAAATTACCTAAAAGGAAAAGTATGAAAATTTTACTTACTGTATTGATCCAAACAAAAATAAGCAAATTTTAACTTACAAACTCTTAAGAAAAATAAAAGCAAAGAAGTAATATCTTCCCTTAAAATTTTTCAAATAACTTTATACATGTAAAAAAGTATTCAGGACTAGACAGAGTTAGTTTCTAACATTATCAAAGCAGTTTCATTGTACATACTCTCAACTACTAAAACTGTATTTAGTGAAATACGTCTTATTCACCTTCCTGTTCCTAAAGCATATTAAAATACCTTTGGATGGGTAATATATCAAGAAGCCAGAAATTGAGAAGTGGTCAAAGATTTTTAAGTCCTCTGATAACCCTCTCCCTGGTAGTCAATGAACCAATACAGACTGTATGAAGTATACCAGGTGTTTTACAAGCTACAAATATAAAAAGAATATCAAACACCTATCAAACACCTTACAAAGGTGAGAGAGATAAGATAAATACACATGAAGGAGATCTACTTTACCAAAAACTAAAATCATAAAGGTGTCATCACTAAAATAATAGGTGGCAGGCTCAAGAATCAATCACTGAACAACAGACTAGATATCTAGTCCAAAAGCAAATGCAGTTACTTATAAAGAATTAAGTATATAATGAAGTTAATCTTTTCTCCTACAGTAACTAGTGTCTTATTCACTAGATGGCACTAGAATCAAGGGGTTAATTAATTGAAAATATTTTTAAAAAAATCAATTGTTAGCCCAGGTACCAAAATAAAGTTGCAGCTGGTTTAAAAAGTAAATATAAAAGAGAAAACGTTAAAACAGAAGAAAGTATCAGTAAATAGCTGGTTTTGGGATAGTGAAAGACTTTTCAAGCATATAAACAATGAAAAACTGGGAAGGAAATGCAACAGATAAGAGAGTTGTCATCTTTAAAATGTAAATTGGTAAGAGCAACTGAAATTTGAATAAAAAATTGTCTCAAAAATAATGAAAGAAATGCAAATTAAAAGAAATCCTTTTTTCACCTATTAACATAGCTTAAAAAATAAAACTTTAAACACATACAACCTTTATAAGTAACAGTATAAAAAGATGTCACAAAGTACTTTTTTAAATGCCAAAACATGAAGCTTGGAAAATAAACACATCAGAAGTTAAAGATAATACTTGAGGAGAAGTACCCTATTTTGCTGTGTATCATGAGCACCCATGTTTTTGGCCCAGGCTTTCAGGGGAAAAAAAGAAATCCTTCATGTTAATTTTTTAATTTATTTGTATTTAAAAACAAAACCAATTATTGTATTCCAGGGTATTATTTTGCATATGGTTATCATTATTGCTTTGTAGAGTTACACTTTTAATGCATAAGCATAAACAAAAGAATCAAAAAACATTTATATAGATATATCAGTACTGCCCATGTATAATGCACAGAAAAATAAGGATTTTTCCCTCAAAAATTTGGGCAACAAAAGGTGCGCATTATATACAGCAAAATTTGGTAGTTAGGAAAAGACTTTGTAGGGAGTTGGGGAAGGGCACTTTTAAAACAGGTAAGATTTCAAAAGCAAAGAAAAGAAAGAAAGGACAGGGCAAAGAGAAAGGCTGAAAATGAGAAAATGCTGAGATAGGCTATCACAAAGTACCAAAATTAAAACAAAACAAAACAAAACCAAACAAAACAGACCAATGAGGCTCAGTAAGAAGGGTTCTGTATCCTCTAAATTAACAGTAGGCCAAAAGGAAAAAAAAAAAAAAAAAGAATGAGACAAAAATCTTTTAAGTACAAATTCCTTAAAGTCTTTCAAAGTTCTTTAGCTGATGGGTATCAAAGAGCTTGTTTCTAAGAAGAAAATAATGTTATTTTGGGAAAGATTAAGCTGTTATTAGGGAGAATAAATTGAGAAGGATAAATGCTTAGGAGAGTAGGAAGATAAATCAGGTGGGTACAGCAACAACCTACCTGACAAAATAAGACATGGATCTGGTACCAAAAGGAATCAACAAGATCTGGTGATTTACTATATCAAGTATGAGAGATAATGGAGACATCAAATATGACTGCAAAGTTTCAAGTGAGGATAAAGAGTTGTACCATTAATTGCAATGGGAAAAATCAAATGCTGGAACATGCTTTGTGGGGGGAAGAAAGTAAACTGGGGAGACAAATGTGAGACATGCAAGCAGAAATATCTAACAGGTTACTGGAGACATGGGACTGAACGTGAGAGAAGTCAGAACTAGATGCAGAGACTCAGAACCTCACTAGATAAGTATTTTTGAGTCCCTATACATTGTGTCAGTAACGATTAGAGTATAGAGGCATAAAAATGAACAAGATTGACAGTCCCCTCCCACCCACTGAGGCTTACAATCTAATAATTAAGACAGTTAATACAGTGCAGGGTGATAAGTGCTAAGATGGATGAAACAAAAGAAGGAGCACCTAACTTAAGAGTAAGAGAGCAAACAAAGCTTCCCAAAGAAATTAGTGTTTTGTCATACCAAGGCCTGAAGAATGAGAAGCCAGTGGCAGAGTGTACATACACGTGAGGTAGTGGTCAGAGCAGGAATGGCAGGAGAGTGGGGGTGTGGGGGGGAGGTTGCAGAGATGCACTTCATGCAGAGGGAAGAAAGAATGTGTTAAAACTCAAGAGCTGAGTGTGGTCATAGCTAATTGAGGAAAACAGGAAGAGCACAGAGTATGGTGTGGGAATGGGAACACATTTTTGTGAAGAGCAAATACACAGAAATGGTTTAAAAATACAGAAAGTATAAAGGACCATATACTTAAAAGCCTCCTTTATATTCCTGTACCCCAGACACCCAGTTCTTCATAGAAGCAACCAATGTTATTAGTTTCCTATGTACCCTTCCAGAGAAATTTTATGCAAATGTAAAGTATATTGTTTTTCTCTCCTTTCCTTCCTGCCCCTTTTTATACATTATTCTGCCCCTTGTTCTTTTTTAAATGTTTAATTCAAACCTATATATGCAGTTTCTAAAATGCTGACCAACAGATCACTGTTACACACGTGTACCAATGAAAACAAAGAGCAGAGAGAATCTTTGCTATCCCCACAAAAGGAATGGCTCCTTTTCTAACATTATTTAGAAATATACTTATACAGTCCTTGTGCCTCACCAATGGTGGCCATGTAAGAAATACACTGGCTTAGTTCTCCTCACTGTTCAGCAAGGTCCACCCAACTACTTATTATAAGCTCTCTCCGTTTTGGATTTCTCCAGGGCTTTGTTCATGGTTTTCTCATTCTCCTCTCGACCCCTGGAATGGTACCACTTGTGTTTTGATTTATGATTCAGTCCTACAAAGAAGTGGAACAACTAGAAAGGGCACTTGTTGTTGTCACAGCCGATCATTTCTCCATAGGAGACCTGACTGCACAACAGTATGTGGGCTTGTTCAGACGATGGGAAAGTCTGCTTTAGCCTTGGAGCATTTCTTTTTGGAGTCCTTTGCTTTCTTCTCTTTAGGTGTTCCCGAGGTGATGTCATTGTGGTCATGATCATTAGCTGCATTCTCCTAATTCTCAGTTATCATTGCTACACCGTTACCGCGACTTCATTACTGGGCTTTTCTGCCTGTGACTGTCTCGTTCTTGGACTTATCCTGGTCGGCTTTGCCACTGTGGCCAGTGGTGTCACTGACCTCTTGGTGTGCCTCAAAGAGTTCCACGTGGCTGCCCAACTGCCTGGTCCGGTTCTCTACAAACTTCATCATCTGACTAACAATCTGGATCTTCTTGTCACCCAGCTACTGGTTCCAAATCAAGGCGCTGTGAATGCAGTGCAACACTCTTCTCTCCTGGGGGCTGTGTGACTCCCATTTAAACTTCTTATAATACTCATTTAGTTCCTTCAGGATTTGCTCCCCCCATTCCTGGAGGCCACTGGGTCCCTGGGGCCAGGGTGGGAGGTCTGAGCTGTGTCCAGAGCCAGCAGTTTGGCTAACAGGTCTCCCGCTGGCCCCAGAGCACTGCTATCACTCCACACTCCTCCCTTGTTTTTCTTTTTAGACAATATAACCTGGAGAGCTTTCCGTATCAGTGTATAAGAGCTGCTTCCTTCTCTTGCATAGCATTCCATTATATAGCAACCAGATTTTAAATGACTGTAGACAGCACCTAAGGACAATAGAGGGCCATGAAAAGATTATATGGGGGAGGGGGGGACTACAAAAAATTAAAAAAGAAAAAAGAAAAGGAATTAACTTCTGGAGGGCGGGCCCCTTCTAGTACAGGCTTCCCCTGCTAGGTGAGTGTTCTAGGAGCCCATCTGTATCAGTGCACCAGCAGGTGCTGTTGAGAGAGGCTGTGTTCAGCTTCAGCGGATTTTTTTTGAAGACTCCTTTAACGTGTTTGCCCATTTCACGATGGGTGATTTACCATACCACGCTGAGCATTCAGCAGTTTCTAACCAAAAATAGCATGACTCCTGCGTCCCACCCTCCCTATTCACCCAAACTCGCCTCAAGTGACTTTTATTTGTTTCCCTGGATGAAAAAAGTCCTCAAAGGGAAACATTTTGTCCATGTGGCAGAGGAGAAACAAAAAATGGCAGAAGCACTAAAAGGCATCAAAATTGACGAGTTCAAAAACAGTTCTGGTAGTGGAAAAAAAAGTCTTGATAGGTGTATTGCATCAAATGGAGAGTACTTTGAAAGTAACTTAAGTATAAACATGTTAAGAATAAATATACAATTTTTTATGAATAAATTCCAGGTAAGTAAAAGATTATACATGATCAACTCTGCATTTTAAAACCATCCTTCTGGTAACATGGGAATGATACAAGAAATGTAAGCACTACAAAGGGTAAGTAGAGATGGAATAATAGACTTAGAGACTGATGAAAGCAGTGGAGGAGAAAATAATTAATCTGATGTCCAGGTTTTTGCCTCGGACAACTGTTGGTGTCATTTTCTGAGACAGGAAGCATAAATAAGTGGAGGTCCAAATGCACAAGGGAAAACAGTAAGTTTCCTAGTAGATAGAATAAATTTAAAGTAAATATTAGAGTTTGAAGACACCTCAGAGAATAAATCCAATCTTCCTTACTTTTAGAGATTAGAGAAGTGAAGGCATTAAATGTCTTTCTGAAAGTAAATGGTGGTTAAGAAAAAGCTAAGGTGCCCTGACCAGAGTGGCTCAGTTCATTGGGCATCATCCCACAAAGTGAAAGGTCACCAGTTGATTCCCATTAAGAACACATGCCTAGGTTGCAAGTTTGGTCCCTGGTCAGGGTGTGTGCGACAGGCAACTGATCGATGTTTCTCTCTCGTCCCCCTTTCTTATCTCTCTTGAAAAAAGAAAAAGCTAAGGTAAGGCTAAACCTAATTCTTAATTCATATACACAAAGGTGATGGCTGAATTTATAAATAAGATCAGTGAATGAGGCTAAAGGATTATCTAAAGCGAAGAACAGAAAAAGGAGCTCACTAAAGAGAAATAGTAATGAGGGAAGAGATCCAATACTTCATCACCACAAAATCCTAGAAAGAGATGTTAAAGACAATGGCAATGTATCCATATACCTGAGAGATCAGGAAGGAAAATGGCTAGGACAATCCACTATGAGTGATGTATCTTGATATAGAAGTTGAATGGAGTGACATTAGGACTAGAAGGGAGGGATACTCCTCAAGGAGGAGTCTTACTTACCATGTACAAAAAGAGGAAGCTATCAGAGATGATGAGGTAAAGATGGCAGAGACAGAGAAAGGATGCTACTGGAGGCTTCTGATGCTCACAAGAATCATTTAAAGTAGTAGTGGGAAATAAACCTGCTTGGCCAAAAGGATAAGTTAAATCATAGAGGAACCCAAAATTGCTGCAAATACCAGATCAAAACAGAGATAATAATGGTAGTGTATAGTTGCCTAATTTTTAACAAGCATTAATGAAACCAAGGATCAATTCTCTTCAATAATATGGAATTCAATAGTATAATAGAAACTTAATTATGGGGTTCAATGTACTATTTTTGAAGGAGAAAAATAGCTGCCACTTATTCATACCTGTGTCTGAATATCATCCCCTGTGACAATGTTTCCCACAGCCCTCAAAGCAGGAGAAACCACTTTGTAATCGTTATGCCTGCAACCATAAAAAGAAATGTTATTATATCCAACAATTCTATTTCTATCTTTAGTCTCTTTTCCTTGGTGCTGAAATCCAAAGTAAATAACACTTGATAGGATTTTAGAGCAGAAAGGTACCTCTGGTGTTTATTAAGGGAACCCTATTATGATGATGGAATGTTAGAGGTGACCCCTGGAAGAACTGTCTCTTCATTTATTTAGTATTTTTGGATAAAAAAATTAGAAATCTTTCCTAGTAATATTTCCCAGGTATTCTATCACCCAGATACCAAGTATTCTCTCCCATTCTTTATTACAGCCTTCATTCCCTCTTCACTTGGTCTCTGTGGTTGCTGAGATAACGAAGAGCAGTAGTTAACATTTATGCAGCACTTCTAAGTTTTACAAGTTGCATAAATTTTAGAGCAGAAAATATGTCAACTTGAAATAACCCGAAAATAAAAGCCATGCTTTACACTTTAAATAGAGAACTCACTAAACCACTCCTGACTTACTGGTCAAGAAACAAAAAACAAACAAAACTCAAAAACGTCCTCCACAAAACCTTTTATATATTTAAAGATATATCAAGTATTTATTTCAAGTAAGTTAATATATTAGGTTGGCCAAAAAGTTCATTTGGTTTTTTTCCATACAATGGCTCTTGTAGTGCTTAGTTGTCTTTAACTTCATTCAAAACAATCTGTGACAGCTGTCTTATCAATGTGCATTTAAAAAAACTTACCAAAATTGGTGAATTTTTGTGTAGGTGTTTTAATATTGAAGATGGAAGAAAACAGACATTTTCAGCATATTACGCTTTCCTGTTTCAAGCAAGGTGAAACCACAACTGAAACTCAAAAAAAGATTTGTATAGTATAGGGAGAAGGTGCTGTGATTGATCAATTTGTGTCAAAAGTGGTTTGTGAAGTTTCGTGCTGGAGATTCCTCACTGGACAATGCTCCACATTCGGGTAGACAAGCTGAAGGTGACAGCGATCAAATTGAGACATTCACTGAGAATGATCAATGTTATACATGGGAGATGGTTGACACACTCAAAATACCCAAATTAATAACACTACTGGTGAAAATGAAAAATGTGTCTTTTATTTTATGGAAAAAACTAAATGGACTTTTTGGCCAACCCAATATTTTAGATCCTATCTTCTCTCCCCTTTAATAAGATGGATTATTCTTCTTAAAACTGTGACAGTTCCTTCACATTTACTTTAAGATTGGATGGTTAAAAGAAATGGTTAAGATACATAATAATCTAGGGACTAAAGAATACAAAAGATTACTTCCCAGATTGTGAATGTTGTACTTCTGACTACTGGAACATCAGAGTACTTTTAATTCACAATAGTATTATGCTGCTGATGTGCACCCTGTCTGTGACCAGCTATAATCCCAGAGTTTTGTGTTGTTTACATTATGCCAATCCAATCCATTCCCCATGTCACGTTTGGGACAATGTTTCTTTGCATCTATTTTGTACATACTTGCATTACATTTCACATAGCTTTTAACTGTATTATTTCCCCATTATGTTTTAACTCTGATGCTTTTCTTCTTTAGTATTATCTAAAAATTTGATTAATACAGTCTCTATGTTATCGATAAATTTCCTACTCGATAAATCAAAGGCATCACAAAGAGACATAGCAAAATAAAATTCCAACTATGACAACAGTCTAGAATAAGCTCTAAATCAGACAGAAGGATAAGGAATGACTATTTTTAGTGGCAATATTCCTTCCACTATCCCGTGGTGGGTCTCAGGTTATTAACCATGAGCTGGAATTATACAGATCAGTTTTCCAAATGTTCTTGAAGGACTGCTAACAGTGTAAGAGTGAGGGGTTCTTTAGAAGCCTCAAAACAAACAAAGAAATCTGACATCAATATAAACAAGTACAGAAGACAGACGCCCAAAGCATAATAAATCAACATAATGAATTAATATTTGAGTACAACAAAAAAAAAATTAATACAGGACAAAAGAGCAGACACACTTTCTTAAAGATAACTTACATCAGCAGCTCCACAAGTCTTCTACACACCCCTGCATCAATGACTGCTTGAATTTTATCATTAGGTCCATCTGACAGGTATGAAAGGGCCCAGCAGGCATCAGCCAGCACGTCAGTGTCACTGACAAACAGCAACCAGGAAAGCACATTCAGACAGGGGGAAACCTGTAAAGGAAAGATATGATTATGAAACTCAAAAGAATAAAAGCCAGAAGTAAGGTGAGAAGCTCCAGAAAGCAACAAGGAACACACTTGGTGACTTCTGGAGTGATTAGTACTTTTAGGGATAGAGTAGTGAGTTGCCAAGCAGCATTTCCATCTTTGAGAATGTCACCAATGGCCTTGTAGTTTAGTTTGATGAGATAGTAAGAGGCCGAGGAAAGTAATTTCAGAGAGCAAAGTTGAATGCAATACCAATTCTGAGAGATTCCTCGTCAAAACACACTTGCTGTAGACTAAGGAGGTAAAGGAACTTTCACAAATGCTAAAGCTAGGAAATTCTGTACTGTAGATACAGAAAATGCTCGCTTTAAAAATAAATTCAGAGCTTTGTACAGGCAGCAAAAACTTATTCTAAATTATAACAAAAATAAGCAACAAAAAGTCCTATTTCGCTAGAACCAAATAATTTTTGATAAAATTTATAATGGTAGAATTTTATTCTCTCTTTCCTTTCACATTAATATTGGTTGCTACATTCTTTTGATTGCATTTTTTCCTGCCAATTTCCTACAACTATAATGCTTACCTTTGCGAATTCTGGAGGTGGACTTTTCCCTCTACAGAGATTAGACAAAGCCCACACTGCGTTCCGGGTCATCGTCAGGCGGTTTTGTTTTGAAAATAACCTACAAGTATGATAATACAATGGTAAACTATATAACAAACAAACATTAACTCCCTGATGGCATATAAAGTTACTAAACCATTTTCTCCAGAATGATAGTTTAATTCTAACCAAATAATATAGAATTTTGAGACTGGACTAAGGATGCATGAAGAAATGCCTCAACAAGTCAGTAAATGTCTGTACCAAAAAATCCCAGTAGCAAATCTAAAATAATTTCCAAAGATGCACTGCTTTTAGGAGAACTTCCAATATTTTTATTACTTTAAAAAAAATTAGAAACTTACTGCAAAAGAGGGGGAAGAATATTGCAGTCTAAGACATAGTCTCTGCACATGGTACTATCTCCAGCAATGTTGCCAAGAGCCCAGACTGCCTATGGAAAAATTATTAATGACAGGTTGAATAGTTTCTCTCAGAATCTTTCCAAAAATGCCAACAAATCACAATAACTTTTTACAAAGTTACATAGTAATTAATCAACATTATTAATAACTTTAAAGTTCACTCATCAAGGAGTCATGAAATACTTGTGAGATTAGGGAAAGAAGATGAATAACACTATAAAGCAGACATGTGAACATAGTAGTAAACTTAGTAAAGGAAGGAAATAGTTCTTATATATATTCTTTACCTCTCAAGTACCCACCCCTAAGTAACATTCCACACAGCCCTTGAGCAGTGATTTATATGGGTTACTGAACTGGTTAAAAATGTACTTTGAGCTTGCTTGCCAAAGAAAATAGTAAATAAAAATTTAACATCAAAATGCAGAAAACCTTTGGGAGTGATGTGCATATTAATTATCTTTATTAATATGTACATATTAATTATATTTTGGGGTGATGTACATATTAATTATTGTCATGATGGTTTCACGGGTATATACATATGTCAAAACTTATTAGATTTAAATATATGCAGTTTATTATAAGTCAATCATACCTCAATAAAGCTGTAGAAGAAAATCATTCTTACTTAGCAGTGATTATATTTACAAATATGATAAAGACTGAAGTAATAAAAAAATTAATTAAAAACTCATGTTCTCTAAGTCTTATGCACAAGAGACAAAACCCTGCTACCAATTAACACTATAGATTCCTACACTAAAAAACGTAACTGCTTACATGGTCTAAAAAGTCTATCTAAGGGCTTAAAGAGTTTAAGGTTTGGAAGGAAAAATCATTTTGTTTATAGGAGAAATTCTACCTATATTCCCCTATGAAATTTTCTATTTTAGTAAGTTTAGATTTCTAGAATGCCCCCTGTAATGAACCATGGATTATCATGGCCAAGTAGTAAAACTGAGGCCCTAAAATAAGAGCAAAGGGAAAAATTATATTCTTTCACCTGTTTCTTTTGGTTTCATTTTTTTACCTGCTCTTGGACATCTTCAAACTCTGAGCTGAGCAACTCTATGAAGATAGGCACAGCTCCTGCCTGAATCACAATCCGGGTCTGAAGAGAATTTCCTGAAGCAATATTTGTCAATACCCAAGCTGATTCAAACTATAAAGATAAAAATAATTTCATTATCTTATTAGAATAGCTTGTTTACTATATCAGCAAGATTTTCTGTACATGAAAAAATAAAAAATTTGAGATTATTTGCATATAATCTATCCAGTGAATACATTATTTTTAAAAGAAGAATTCCCAGGAGAAATTCCTCAGAAACCTAGAGGGCTGGCTATTCAGGGTATCTAAAATTTCAGATGAAGGCAGAGCTGACACAAGACCATAAAAAGAAATGAGGGACTGCTTCATATGCTGATACGGAATGATCTCCCAAGATACAAATTTTTTAAAAATGTAACAGTATACATTAATAGGATATCATACTATATTCTCTAAAAGGGTTAAGAAGGAATGTATGCATTAGTTTACTTATTGCAGAGTATCTCTGGAAGGAATCACAAGAAACTGTAAATGCTTGTTACCTACATGGAGAGGTCAGGGTAAATGGGGAACAAAGATGGGAAGGAAAAATGCTTTTCACTGTAAAGCCGCCTGTAACTTTGGCCTCATACCATGTATATTATCTAATAAAAAATAAAATTAAATAATTTCTATAGAATGAGAAAAGTGAAACGGAGAGAGGATGTTAGTATAAAATGTATAAAGTACAGGCAGAGTGAAAAATGCGTAAGATATTTTAAATGATAATTACGACAAAAGAAGTTAACATGCATATAATTAAGAAGGCTCCAAAGCAAGGTACAGAGGTAAGACTTTTTAAAAAGAGTATGCTTAAAGGTTGATAAACTGGTAAACAGAGAGTATGAAGAAAATTACGGCCACTGAAAAATATAGCGTATTAATAATCCTACCCACCTTTATAGTAACTTGACTCTTTAACCTAATTTGGAGAAATCTAGGAATTAACTATTAAAATCCAAAAATGAACTCTTATAGTTCTATTTTAGTTGAGTTTAGTTTTGTTTCCTTCTCCCATTTTATCTTTTATTTATCCTTTAATGAAGCTCATATGCCAAAAAAAAAAAAAATGTCAGTGGTATGCCCCTTGAATGAGAGATCAATAAAAAGTCATCAAAAAAAAAAAAAAAAAAAAGGAGATGACTCTTCCTAGCTTTTGGGCAGACTGAAAGGCAGTAATCATATGAAAAACTAAAACATCAATCATAAGGGGTAAGGGAAGATGGAAGAAATGGGAAGACAATCTGGTTATTAGCATAGTTCAAAGCCACATTAACGACAGCATATTCACAGCAGAAGACATTTAAAGAAGAGGACGTTCAAAGAAACCTAAACATGTGACATACATAAGTGAGATGAAGTGGTATGGTAGCCACAATGGACACTGTTATTACAGCAGTAGCAATTACCAGAACAGGAGCACCATGGATAAATTAAAACCCACCAAATATCCCCCTGTAATTAAATCACTACTGAAACCAATGCTCAAACTCTTTCCAATGTCTGAATTGAAACTTTACATTTATACAGTACTTTGCATTTTCAAAGCATTATTCACATACTCTAGGTATTTCCCACGGCAACCCAGAGAAGTCTGGTTCTTCCATCTAGTTAATGAATGAGGAAACGATCAGAAACAGATTCAACAATCTAATGACTTGAGTAATGTTACACAGCCAAAGAGAACTAGATTAGAGCCTCCTAATGTAATTCACTTAAAACCAGACTCTCTGGCTTCTTCTTTCACAGTTTCCTCTCTTAAGCATACCTACAACACTGACAAAAATCTTTGAATTGTAGTTTTAGTTTCTAGGGCCAGAAATATCAAATAATATGTCAGATTATTTAGTGGACACTAAAAAGAAAACACAGTTTACTTAAAATGCAGCTCCTTTTGCTTACCAGGAAAATTTATTAGTAAAACACACACATATGACGTGTATACAAAAGCAAACTTTACTACCAGAGAGCAAGCTCAAAGTTCAATAGTCATCACTTATTGTAGAGACCAAGTCAAAGAAATGAAAACTGGAGGCAAAGCAACCTGTAAAGAATAAGATCGGCATACACACCAATCTATATCAAAGAGAAAACAGACTACAGTGTGATTGCAAAAGAAATGCAAAAGAAATGGTAACAACAGTCTGAATAGGTAAAGGATATATTAAAAGGAGTTTTCAATGAAATCAGAATACTAGTTGCTGCCAGAGTACAAACTATTTGTGTGATGACCAAAGGTCTCACAGAAAATGAAAGAGAATTCCAGGTGCTACTGAAGTGAATAAAAAGGAGAAGGAAAAAATAAATAAGTGACAATGACTAGAAAAATTAGGAGTGAGTAATACCCTCAACACAGATGGAAGAAAATTAGAAATCAGAACATCCCAGCAAAGGAAGAATGTACCAGAGTCATATGTTTATTACTAAAAAGTACACAATGATGGTAACTTCCAAAAACAAAGATTCAAGGTCTCTTTCGGCAAGACTGGAAATCAGAAATCCGTTGTCATTACCAGGACAAAAACAAATAACTTATACTCAGAAGGGCACTGAAAACTAAATCATATTCATGCATTAAATAAGCCATTAAAACATACATGCACACTGCATGCAGAGTACTTTAATATTTTTACCTTAAACAAACTCATCAAACTATATCTGTGCAATTTCCTATACCCATGTATTTGTGTGTATGATAAACTTCTCTTTCACTGAGTACTACAGTCACTTTTTTGGTTAAATGTCTTGGCTTTGAGTCCCTGATTAAGAACTGAACACTAAAGAGGCCCTGCCCGGGTGGCTCAGTTGTTGGAGCGTTATCCCATACACCAAAAGGTTGCGGGTTTGATTCCCGGTCAGGGCACATACCTTGGTTAAGGGTTTGATCCCTGATCAGGATACGTACAGGAGGTAACCAATATGTTTCTCTTTCTCTCTCTCTAAAATCAATTTTTAAAAAACATATTCTCAGGTAAGGATTAAATAAAAAAATTAACAGAGAGTTGTGAAATAGGAAAACCCAGAGTTGACAGCACAATCACATAGTTATGTTAGAAATGGTGAGAAAAAGTAATTTAACCATGTGACTCAAAAACAAATGAGTAACATAAAAAAAAAAAAAAAAAACCCCTAAGAAATAGTACTACCTCAAATAATAAATGGTAGCCAAAATAACTATCTTTACTTCCTGTTTGTCATTTTAAACTACTATATTCTACTATATTCTTAATGTTCCAAGAATGGCATCATACAAGGAAACAACCTGTCATGCAGCTGTAATTGCTTATAAACTGTAATTCCATTATTTTTCACTATCCAGAACTTGCTAAATAAGCTACAACTGAACTGTGAAGGGCACACTGAAGATTTGATATTTTCTCTCTTCCCTTTCTCAGTCTCTACCTGCTGGTGCTCAGTTCCTTAAGTTAGGAAAATGAAAATCCAAAGCTGAAATACTTCTGACCTCCTATCAAGTTTCCCACTCCAGGTTGAGGTACGCCTGGTTCCCTTTCTCCATTTGGATCAGGACTCTGTTGCTGGCCACTTTGCTGGGTCCACTCTGGTTCCTAGCAAATGCCAGGCTCACCTGGAGAGCAAGTGAAAAGAAAGGCTCACATCAGAAAAATAAACCCAGATATAAAACTCTGCAGAGAACAGTGCCTGAGTCATCTGAGCAACCTTTCAAGGAAGGCAGAGGGATCAATGAAGATGGGGAAAGACGTAGGAGGATGAAGGCTTACTGCAGTTTATCACATTAAGCTTTTAGAAGGGACAACAGAGGTAGGAATGGGAAAACTAAACCATTTTTTTCAAATTTATGGCTTTAGGAAGAGTATCTAATGACTGGCAGTAGGAGGCAAATTTACTTATTTCTAAATATTTTTATAAGCTTCTTTAAAAGGTTTGAGAATGTACATGTCAGCACTGCAAAGGACAGTACAAAGAGGCTGGGCCTGGACTCAAAAACCAAAATAGAGTGGGCACAGGAAATATACCATAAGGAAAACCAATCTCATTTCAAGGGCTCAAGTACGTCTGAGACCTACATGTCACTGAGCTTGAAAATGCTCCTAGACAGATGGTATTGTCTCCTTCCAAAATCCTAGATTCCACCCATGTTCATCTCATTTGAGGGTAAGTGTGTATCTGGATAGCACTGCCCAAAGCAGGTGTTTTTATCTCCCTGATTCGAGGTGCCTCACTGATTTCTGTATACGAAAAGCCAGAAAGGAAGTGAAGAGACTCTTTACTAGGAGTTATAGTCCTTTATCAAAGGAATGAACGAATTAAGTTTGTTCATAGGATTTACTAATGAATTTAGCTATTATGACCATATTCTCTTCCTGGAAGAGAAACGGCAAAAGCCTCATTCCAAAGACACACTACTCAACTTTCCAGCAAGCAAGCGGGAGTACCCCAGACAACTAATGTGGTAGTACTCTCCAAGAAGACAGAAGAAGGAGGACCTTCTAAGTTTCCCAGAGCACATCTAGTTACTTGAGCATGAAGCCTCCTGGCCTTCAGGTCTCCCTCAATATACTTGCTCCTCCTGCTTCTGGGGCGATCAAGATTACCCATTAGTCACACTAAAGAAGAAAAAAAAACACCATGTTGTGCTATAATGTACACAGAAGAAAAGCTGGGGATGACCTTAGATAATAAACAGGTTGATTATTTCTCAGAGTTTTTGGATAGCTAAGGTGAAAATCAGGAGGCAGTCACTTCCAGAGGAATCATTTCTCAATCTTTCAGCCTAATTATCAGTTTGCACAAGGGTGGAATCTGAGAATTTAAATAGAAGCAAATTAGAGATTTCTGAAAGCATTCATCTTCAGATGTTTTAAAGATACAAGTTTCAGGATTACAGAATTGAAAATGACATAGAATTTACATGTGTTAGCCAGGAGAGGGCACTGTCTAAGAGAACATTATGTACTCTTTAGGGAGTACTGGAGAATGTAAAGATGGGGAAACACATTTCTCTGACTTCATTTTAGGCCTAGCAGGTTATACCATCTTCCTTAAGCGCATTAAGAAACTGGACCTCTGTAATCACCTATAAAAAACTGCTAGATCCAGGAGTGAATTCAGTGTCTTGGAACTACTCTCATTGTCAGAGACAGGAAGAAATATATTTTCACATGAACAAAATGATTTTCCCTACCTCCTTCTTCCTACAAAGCTTTTCAAATGATAAACTGCAATAAAGCTCTTCATTTGGTTCCTCTGGCTCTCTTGGCAGGTTGCTTAAGGGCTCAGGCTCTGTTCTCTGCAGTGTTGGTTGTCTGGATTTTTTTTTTTCTGAGAAAAGTCTTTCTTTCCCTGCTTTCTAGGTAAACCTGTTAATTTCTCAGATGATGGCGATCCTGGACTTAGATGGGGACCAGAATTATAATCCAGGAGGCAGCTAGCAAAACAGAATCTTAATTCAAATGAACTTAGGAATCAGTAACTGTCAAACTGGAGAAGAAAAACTGATGGGATACTGAAATACTCTACCTTTTCTGGATTTCTTGTTTTTCCTCTGGAAGAAACTCATCACCGCAACAAAGAGAATAAAAGAGTAAAAAGATGGGGTGGGAGGAAAGGAGAGAAAATATCAAGAAAAAGCATCAAGTCTTAAGAATTATCTACAATACTCTGGACAATAAGAAACCTGAGGACAGAGTTGTCATTTACAAAAATGTCCCAATCCCTATAGCCTTACAGTAAGGCAAAAGGAAATGAGGGGGTGAAAGTTATCTTTATGATTAACTTGTTACTGGCAAAATATTTACTTGGAAAACTAATCCCATTTTGTGAGCTACTCGGTACCTAACCAATTTTTACAGTTGCCTGAACCCTTCAGATTAGATCCTACAAGTGAGATTTTAGGTGTCATGAATATTTGTCAAAAAAATAGAGAAACTAAGTCAGTTGGTTATTCCAAGAAGTCTAGCTACTGAAAAATTACCGATTTACTGTCAGCCCAACTTTATTCAGGAATAAAATGCTATTTTAAAATTTTTAAGTAGCTCCCAGGATGAGAGTTAGTTGACAGTGGTTCTTTTTACTGTGAAAATTATCTAATCCAGAAGTTGTAGAATTTCCTACTGAAACCCTTATATAATACAATACTGATAGACGAAACAAACACAGAAAGCACACAGATCCCTGAAAAGGCTATCACCTTGTTAGTACTTTTGAGGTAAGGGGAGAATTGATGCAAACCAGGTATGGGGATTAGTGAATCTCCAATTTAGCCTATGTTACACAGCTTTAAGAAAGCTAACAAGTATAATCTAAAAAATCCTTCAAAACCAAATTTTACATAGCCCACACTAAGGTCCTATCTATTACGACTCCCCTACTGCAACAATTCCCTATTAAGTATCATCCACAATCATAAAATAATCTTTTACATGACTAAAAATGACAAAAGTCCTAAAAAGTAAAACCAAGGGCCTAGATGTTAACTAAACTATCAATGAAACTTGTCATTGGGAACATTATTATAAAAAATTAACCCACCATACAGATTAAAATAAGTAAGAATTTAAGTTTGCCAAGAGTATTAAGAAAAATGTAAGGCAAGAAATGAAAAGGTCCGTACCTGCAGCGTACAATTCTCCTTTCGTTTGAGGAACTCCACAAACCTGGCCACTACTCCTGGTGTGCTGATGACTTCGTCAATAGGAGGATTAGGTTCTGTCTCCCCATAAAATAAAAGGAAAGAAGAAAAACAATCCTTTGATTTCAATACAAAGACTTTATAGCTCAAAATTACTTCATAATATCCTTCCCTCCATTTTAGTATCTCTTTCACGCTGAAATCTAAATTTCTACGTGAATCTAAATTCCGATCTAAATTAAATCAGAGATCTAAAAAAAGGAAAAAAAAGTCAAATTGAGTTTGGTCACTTTGACACTATGGTAGCTTGAAAGATTTCACAATAAGGTAAGCTTTTACATGGAAATGATGGGCAGAATTCCTAAAAATTAAAATTATTATCTCTACTATTTTAGAAAACTTAGAAAGTAGCAGGAAAACCATCCAAAGACAACCTTTGTTATTATTCTGGTATAATTCCTAGCCCTTTTTCTGTGTATGGGTTTATTGTTCATCTTTTTGTTTAGCATCAACTGTCTGTAGAAACTGGATTTGGAGAGCATTTGAGATCTCCCCTCCCAGCACATGTTGTCAGTTGGGATCAAACTCTTACAAAGACTTTTTTTAAAAAAAGGGGAAAAAGAAAATAGAAAAAAAAGAAAGAACCTGTATTAGAAGATTCTGAGTGTGCTTGCAGGATTTAGTTTTGCAGCCGTAGTGTTAAGTAGAAGCCAGAGCAAGAATTCACCAAGGATGATTTACCAAATTAATTTCATTTCGTTTATAACAATAGAGCATCTTATAAATGAAATCAGTCAGTAGAAATTTGTTGGATGAATAAACAGTTAATGTCCTAACCAATCAGCATAATAATTTCAGCAAGAGATTTGACAAAATTTTTGATGACATTCATGTAGCAATGCAAGAAAAATGGCAGCTGGACTACAGTACTGCTGGGAATTCTTAGCCAAGTCAATAGCTTTACTGAAAGTGTTGACTAATGATTCAATGTTAATTTGGAGAGAGCCATGACTACTGAAATAACTGATGTTATCTTGGAATATATTACTAGAAAGTAGTCTCAGGAAGGCAGTCTCTCACCACTGACAGAGTAATAACACATTGGCAATACTGCATTCTAGTTATCATATTTCTAAGAAAGGAGGCTGGCAATCTCCAATACATGGAGGGAGGTAGTAGAGTAGTGAAAGGCCTTAAAAAGTCGCATTATATAAGAAACCCATTAGGCTCAGCATTTTGAAAAGAGACAAGACATTTTTAGAGGGGTGGGGAAGGTGTACATAATCATGGCCTTCAAATATTTAACAATTTGTTATGGTGATACATTTTCATTCCCATTAACCTCAAGGAGTATGTTAACTTCTCACTAATAACTTCAAACAACCATAACTTACTACTGGCGGGTCAGTTCTAAGTATTTACTATTGACATTGTAATACAGTTCGGAGTTCCTTTACTTGCCTAGATGACAAGAAATAATATACTCCATTCTACCCTAATTATACAAAAGGTAGTTAGCTTGCCTACCAATAAATCCATAATTAATTTCAGTGATAAACTGTTAAGATTAAAATCAACAATCGTTGCTCTCTCAAGTGGTATTTTTAGTTTTTCTTAAACAAGAGTGTAGTTTCTCAATATGAATAAACATAAAATTATTACCTACTGTTCTTATCATTTTAAGGTCTTTTATAAGGTAGCTAAGAAATAAAAATAATGCCGCTTTCTGATCCTGGTAACGCCACACAAATAAATAAAGAAGTCCAAAAGTTAGTTACAGCTCACAACTGTGTATCTGTATGTGACCTTTTATTCTGTTGACAAACTCCAGAGCAAGTTACCTGTGTTATGAACAATAGGCTATGAAAAAGTAATACTCTGTGAATAAATATTATACATAACATATCGAGAACTCACCTTTTGAAAGCAATTTTCTGAATTTCTGCGTTGCTGAAAGCTGTTGCTCTGGGCTATTGGAAAATATCATTTCAATCATGTCAGAAGTAATCACACCACCCTGGGATCACAAACAGAAAGTAAATATAAGAAAATTTTAAATTTAATTCAAAGGAACACAAAGACAATAAAAACTGTGGCCATGTTATTAATTCATATTTATCTCGAGGAATTACACAACGAAAGGGCAACCTTTACATGTAGAAATGTATGAGATGATTAATAATGTGATTAAGCCAAACTCTTTGTCTATCATTTAAAAGCTCCCAACAGCCCTGACTGGGTTGCTCAGTTGGTTGGAGCATCGTCCTGTGCACCAAAAGGTTGTAGGGTCATTCCCTGGTCAGGGCACATAACAAGATTGCAGGTTTGCTCTGGTCACGGTGCATGTGGGAGGCAACCGATTGATGTTTCTCTCACACTGATGATTCATTTTCATTCTCTTTCTCAAATTAATAATCATATCCTTGGGTAAGGATTTTTTAAAGAAAGTTCATAACATCAACAAAGTAGTAATCTTAGTAGCAAATACTAAGACAAACTGTTTATTATTCTCCCTCTCCTTGTTCATCGAAGGGTTAGCTATTCCTTGCTGTTCAGATTAAATATTAAATTCTAAAAGAAGGCTTCTCATGACTTCCAAATCTAAAGGGTCCATTCCATCTCTATCCCATCCCTCTATTTTAATTCTGGGTCCATCCCATATACACAAACACACATGTTTTAGTCTCTTCACTATAATTATTGAAAGAAGGAACAATAAAACGGAAACATTGATATGGAAAATGCAGTGGAGTGGTAGGGAAAGGGATGGGGTTGCGGGGTGGCGGGTAACTCCAGTTCAAGGATGGAAGGGGAGTTGGCTACTCCCAATCTTTCCTACACAGAGGACCAGATAATGATATTTTTCTTAGCTACCTCCCAGGTTCCTTCAGTATACTATAAGCTCCTAGAAAGTCAATGAACCAGTCTATCTTGCCACTCTATTCACTGACAGCTGTACAGTAGATGCTCAACAAATATTTATTCAATGAGTATAGAGCAGTCTTACATAACTTACAGGTTCTAGCCACTTGTAAGCTCAACAGCTGACCCTTAAACTTATTTAAAATTTCTATTTTACTTATTAAAAATGTTTCAGATTGTCACTATATTCTTGCTTTATTAGACTCATAACCCATCCCCAGTACTAGCAGTTAACTCTCAGGATTATTTGTCAATGAAGTAGTTTGTATTGTTTCATGAAGGGTTACAGTCAACAAGATGAACTGTGAAGAAAGCTGTGCCAAGGTGAAAACACCAGATGGCTGATAAGCAATATCTAACACTTAAGAATCCTCATGGGAAGAATAAAAGCATTGTGCTCTTAGGGGTCAGAAAAGTAACTGCTTTGAAACTTAATAGACAGATTCCTGAATAAACAAAGGTATCTATATAAATCTATTATGAATATATATATATATATATATATATATATGTTTTCTTCCACCTTGTATCTCCTTATCATATAACAATATATACTGACTTTACATTAATAGTTTTTAAGTATTACTAACTTTACGTCACAGTATTTAATTTACAGGATATCAGGGTGAGAACTGAACAACACCCAAGAACTTTACGTCCTCTTCTGGGGAAAAGGTTAGTGCACTAATAAGCTATATGCAGGGTAGTTATGTTATATGGAGGTACAACTTTGTTCTTGTCTTTATCTGAGACTCAGTATAATTTAAGGAGTTGGATATGTGGATGTCAAATTGACAAAGACTAGACTACGATGGTTAATTTTGTGTGTCAACTTACATTATGATACCCAGTTGTATGGACAGACACCAGTCTAAATGTTGCTATGAAAGTATTTTTTAGATGTGATTTAACATTTTAAATCAGTACACTTTGAGGAAAGTAGGTTACCCTACAAAATGTGGGTGGGCCTCATTCAATCAGCTGAGCAAAGACTGAGGTATCCTACAGTAGAAATTCAGCCTCAAAACTACAACTCTTACCTGACTTTCCAGCCTACTGGCTTGCCCTACGGATTTTGGGTTTATCAAGTCTAACAACTACATGTGCCAATTCCTTAAATCAATCAATCAATCACTTTCTCTTTCTCCTATTGGTTGTTTCAGCTGTAGAACCCCAATACAGTCCACAAAATACTTCATATTAATTTAACACTCACTTAAAAAAAAGAACAGCTTGACTTTCTCAAAGGCCTGGAATAATTCACCATAAAATAATAATAGTAACTACAACATCTATATCAATTTCAAATGGATTTTAAACTGCTCTAATTCCAAAAGAAAACTGATCTATAAAAACTGCAGACATAATGAAGTGGAAAAAAGGAAAAATCTACGAGAGTTTATAATATGCCACCATAAAAAAAGGACGGGGGGATTTATTTTCTCAAAAGAATAAGAATCTAGTAACAGTGGTTGTCACTAGACAAAGACAATGAGTGACTGAAGTAAATGAAGAGAGATTTTTCTTTCTTTTGACGACCAAGTGTGTGTGTGTGTGTGTATGTTCTATTAAAATACTATCAAGTTCATTATAATAAACTGGAAATATAGACAGGTGTGATCTATATAAAGCACAATTTTTATGTTTTTGTAACCTCAAGACAGTTACAATAAATGGGTTATAATAAATGGGTTTAGTTATAATAAATGGGTTATAATAAAAAATTCCAATAGTTGTGATATGGAACCAATTTTTAAAATCATAAAAACATATCCAATTTTGTAACTGAAATAAATAACAAACTGGGATTTCCTTTAACATATCCCTTATTATTTAACTTTTAAGGAATAATTATAATTTGTAAATTTTAATAGCTGGATTAATCTTCATAATTCAGTTAATCCTGTCTAACTGTATGTTATTTAAAATATAATAAACATTTAGTAAATCATGAGATTAAGTATATGGCATCTTTTTAAAAATGAAATGCCAAGTAACTTTTGGTAGCCATATAATCTTTTTTTTCAAAAACAAAAAGATCTAACCTCGTATTTTCACTGGAGAAACACTACAGAGTTTCTTTATCTTACTTACTGGTGCCATTTCCATGTTATTAATCTGAGCTTCATGGAAGCCTCCATCTGACATAACTTCCTCTTCTGTTTCTTCTTCTGCGGTAGCAACATTTCTTCGTTTGAATAACTGAAAAATAAAAGACTTAAGTAATTGTAATACAAGAAAGTTCAAAAGCCAAACACTAGTCACCCCATTTAAAAGGTAGGAAGGATGGAGTTTCTTGAAAATCATTTTAAAAATTTCAAAGTTTGTGCCACCTTCACCCTTCCCTGATGAGGAACTATGTCAGAATTCCCCAGTCTTTATAATCTACTGCAATTAACTATCACTTGATGAGGTAAAACTTACCAAGAGGCCTCATACTGCATGAAATATAAAAAAGGTAAGATTGGAAAATGCAGTTGGGGCATGGCTGGCTATTTCCCTCTTCCCTCTATGTGAAGGAGGTGATAGGACAGTCTCACTATGCATCAGGAGAAAAAAGGATAAAAATGATATCAAGATGGCTTAATACTTCCCTCCTAATCCTCAAAGAGTATATTGAGGCTTCTTGACTTTTCCAACCTGCCCAGTAAGCACTGATGACAAATGACTTCTGTTTGAACACCACCTTGAAAACATCCATTTATCTGTGTAGGCAAAGAACAGTTCTCTCCAAAGGCAGTCCATTACAATGCCATCCATTACATCGTTAAGAATCCTAGGCTATATACTCATTCATCAAGCCACAACAGAGTAACAATAATTTACCCTCTCATTCTAAGTGACTAAGATAGCAGGAAAAAATGCATAAAATAATGGATTTTAATCACTGGACAACAGGTAGTACAGGCAATGATCCTTCAGAAAAGAAAAAAAAATTAGTCCTACAATTGCCTCAGTTTATTGCCTGGACAGAGAGAGTTTCAGGGCTGCAGCAGAGGAAGGTGAATCCTAAGACAGCCTGGAGGCCAAGATATCCACAATCCACAACACAGAGTATTAAGAGGAGAAATCAACCTAGAGAGAACTCCAAAAATCTGCAGAAGATCCTCCTAGCTTATCACTGATCATTGCAGCTATGTGAGGAAGAGATCCAAAGCTGGGAAAGGAACCACTTTCAAGGAGCATACAGAACAATTTCAGAGGTCACAGAAATCAAGTGATAGTTAATGTTTTGACCTGCTATAACAGAAAAAAACTCCTAATATATGGGGCATTGAGTAGAATACTCAGAAGGGTATTAATTCATTAGTGATGCTAAATTAGCCCTAGATTAGAGGCTGGTCTGGTCCAGCCCAATGAAACGTAAAAGCAAACTGGTTCCAAGTAGTTTAATTACATCCAATGACAATCTCAGAATTATACACGTTAAAAGACAAAATTATCCTTATTAAAATATATTTATTAAAAACTCCAACACCAAACAAGGTAAAATTCACAATGTTTGGCATTCAATTAATAACTACCAAGCATGCAAGAGTAGAAAAAGACCACTCATGAGGAAGAGAAAAATCAATCACATCAATTAAATCACTTAGAAATGACAAAGATGGCAAACTGAATAGGGATATTAAAAGTTATAAATATATCCACATATTTAAAAAGTAGAGGATGCCCTAGCTGGTGTGGCTCAGTGGACTGAGTGCCAGCCTGCTAACCAAAGGGTTGCCAGTTTGACTCCTAGTCAGGTCACATGTCTGGGGGCATGCGACAGGCAACCACATACTGATATTTCTTTCCCTTTTCCCCCCCTTCCCCTCTCTAAAAATAAATAAAATCTTAAAAAAATAAATAAAAAGTAAAGTATAACTATGACAAGGAGAGATCAAAAATGAAAAAAGAAAGCAAATCAAACATCTAGCAATGAAAACTACAATTTTTCAGGTGAAAAATATGCTGGGTGGGGTTAACAGCAGATTAGATAGCATTAAGGAAAAATTATATTGGATTTATGGACATTGCCATGGAAAAACTCCAAAATAAAAGAGATAGAAAAAAGCTGAGAAAATATGTACAAAACATAAATACATGCCGGTGGGACAAGAAATATATTTAAACAGACTTCACTACAGTAGATACATAGATGGCATATAAACCATGAAAAGATGCACTCAACTTTAGTCATTAGAAAAATGCAAATTAAAATAATATTGGCATACTATTACACACACCTTCGAATAGGTAAAATGAAAACAACTGATTATACCAAATGTTGACAAAGATGTGGAGGAACTGAAACTCCATTCATTGCTAATGGGAAGGTCAAATAGTACAGCTCATTTTGGCGAACAGTTGACAGCTTCCTAACTATACAACTACTAAACAATCCAGCCATTGTACTCTGTTCCTATATATTTATCCCAGAGAAAAGAAAGTATGTATCCATAAGAGCTATCTATGAATGTTCACAGCAGCTTTATTTGCAATCACCAAAACCTGGAAACAATCCAAATTACCATCAACAGGTGAATGGGTAAATAATTGTGGTTTATCCATGCAGCAGACTACTACTCAACAATAAAACGAAATGAACTATTGATACATGCAACAGCCTAAGTAAATCTCAAAATGACTAAGCTGACTAAAAGAAGGGGAAAAAATAATATATGATTCTATTTATGCAAACTAATCAGTGGTGACAGACACAGATTTTAAGTTGCTTAGAGACAGGAAAGATGTGGGAGAAAGGTACTACACAAAGGCATACCAGAAAAGTTTTGGGTGAGATAACTAGGTTCACTATCTTAATTATATTGGTGGTTTCACAAAATATACCAAAACATCAAATTGTACACTTTACTATCATCTGTACAGCTAAAAGGTTGTTTTTGTTTCGTTTTGTTTTGTTTTTCCTAAAGACAGGGGAGAGAAATAACTGAAGTAATTTGAAATATGTTGAACACTTTAAGGTCCCAGTAATATTAAAACATCCTCACCCTCTAATGGTCCCTTTGGAAGATGCTAAGAAATCAACTCTTTATTTTGAAAACAAACGGAAAGAATCAAGTATTTCTCTTTCCTACATGAAGAGTAATTCAGGAAAACCAAAAACTTACTGAGGAAAAGCTCCTTTTTAGACTGAGCTTTCAGCCAATTAAAAAAGCAAAAAGAATGACAGACTTATCATTGCAACGGTCATTTAATGATCATGTGATGGATCTAGACCATGACCATCAAACACTGCTAAAAGCCTGAGATAAAAAACTGATGGATATTAATTAGATGGCTTGATATAAAGAAAGTGTTCACTTTTAAAGAACAATAACTTCTGTGGCTTAAGCTTAGAAGTCTTTATCTTTTAGAGAAAGTTATTGAAGTATTCATAAATGAAATAATTTGCTATCTGGGATTGGTGTCAAAGTAATCCAGGGCATTATTTTACTTCTGTCTAAAGGACACCCTTTAACATGGCTTGTAGTGCAGGTCTGGCAGTGGATGCTTTGTTTTTGTATGCCTGAAATGCATCTTCATTTTGTCACTGTTTTAAAAAATATTTTTGCCAGGTACAGAAGTTAACAGTTTCTTTCTGAGTACTTTAAAAATGTTTTTCCAGTGTCTCCTGGCTTGTATTATATGTTGCCATTAAGAAATTTGACGTCACCTTTATCTTTGTTCTGCTGTATATAACATGTCTGTTTTCTCTGGGTGTTTTTTTAAGGCTTTTCTCTTCACAGCTGGTTTGGAGTAGTTTTCTTCATATTTTTGTGTCTAGTATTAAGTGAGGTTCTACCACTAGTGGGTTTAGTTTTCAGTAATTATGAAAAGTTTTTAGCCCTATTTCTTTCAATAGCTTTCTCTTCCACCCTCTCTCCCCTTCAGGTACCTCCAATAGTCCACTCATAAAGCTGTCCTATAGCTCAGTGGTCCCCAACCATTTTGGCACCATGAACCAGTTTTGTGGAAGACAATTTTTCCACAGAATGGGGCAGGGGTCGGGGGGAGGAGGCTTCATAGCCTGATGCCAGATGCAGCTTGTCACTTGTCACTCCCTGATAGGGTTTTGATGAGTCTGAAAGCAACTGACTTATGGCCTCTGTGCAAACTTCTCTGCTAATGATAATCTGTATTTGCAGCTGTTCCCCAGGGCTAGCATTGTGGCTTCAGCTCCACCTCAGATCATCAGGCATTAGATTCTTGAAAGGAGTGCGCAACCCAGATCCCTCACATAGGCACTTCACAGTAGGGTTAGCACTGCTGAGAATCTAAGGCAGCAGGCTGCTGATCTGACAGGAAGCGGAGCTCAGGCAGTAACGTGACCAATACAGAGTGGCTGCAAATACAGATGCAGCTTTCCTGCCCGCTGCTCATCTCCTGTTGTGAGGCCCTGATCCTAAAAGGCCACAGACCTAGTGGCCTCAGGGTTGGGGACGCCGCCATAGCTCACTGATGTCTTCTTTTCCATGCATGTGCACCATATGTGTATCCTTTTACCTTTTTAAAAATCCTCATCCAATATATTTATTGATTTTAGGGAGGAGGAGGAGGAAAGAGTAACATTAACTGGTTGCCTTCCATACTCACCCCAATGAGGGATCAAACCCACCACGTTTTGGTATGTGGGATGATGCTCCAACCAACTGAGCCACCAGCCAAGGTTTTTACCTGTCTTTTTAATTCTGGATAGTTTCTATTCCTATTCCTTTAATTTTATTAATATTTTGTTCTGCAGTTTCTAATTTGATATTAATTCTATCTATGTACTTTTCTTTTCAGACATTGTAGTTTTCATCTCTGGAAGTTCAATTTGAGTCTTTTGTGCATCTTCCATGTCTCTACTTAACTTCTAAACATATGAATACAATTACAATAATGCTTCCACATCATTCTCTGCTAATTCTGTGTCAGTTTCAATTGATTGTTCTCATTAATGGTCCTGTTCTGCTTCTTTATATACCTGGTACTCTTTGTATGCCTGACATAATCAACCTGACCTTGTTGAATACTGGATATTTTTTGTATTCCTGTAAATCTTCTTGGCCTCTTGGCCTGGTATGCAGCTAAGTTACATAGAAACAGCTTGATGCTCTTGGATCTTGCTTTTATGATGTGTTAGGTAGGTCTGGAGCGGAACTAAGCCTATGGCTAATTAATCTCCACTAATGAGGCAAGACTCTCCTGAATACCCTACCCAAAGCCCCATGAAT